TGATTTCCCAGAATTAAAAAATTTAATTATCAGTAACCGAATTTTCTCACTAATAACCTTTCCTCTACCCATTTTGAAAACCTTAACTATTTTAAACGTGTGCGTTATAGACTTATTTTGCATTGAAATGAAAATAGGTTGATATGCTGTAACTGCAACATGTGTTATTTTTATGCTGCAAATTTGATATGTATTATCAAAATATTCATTGTTAATATTTTAAATCTATAACACCCTGCTACATTTTTATTATTTGTGTTTGATAAGAAAAAAACTAAGATTTCAATAGTTGGGTCAACTGAAGTGGGAAGGGGCTCGTATATATACGGGAGGCCCATCTATGTGTGGACGGAATATTACTCACAAACAAATACATTTTGGTAAAATCTATTTATGGCGTGTTATACATGACATTTGAGGGCACATTTCTAAAATATTGGCAATTATACAGGGTGTCCTTATTTTGACCTACATATCAAAGTTGTGATTTTTTAAATGGAATGCCTCAAATTTTATTGCATATTTGGATAAACCAATTAAAAAGAATAAAATTGATATGACATACTATGGGGTTTTGGTATTTAGCTACTGAGATATAAGGTGTTTTGTCTACAAAAACCCCCAACTTCGGCCACCCCTCAGTCCGCCATTTTGAAATTTCGGGTGCTGAACTTTGTATAAAAAAACTTACACACCTCAGCTTTTATCTTATTTGTTACCTTTTCAAATTTTAATTTTGGCTCATTCATGGTGGTCAAAAACGCAAATTGTAGTTTCTCTTAAAAATTTCAAATGCATCACCCTGTATATGTAGAAGTTTGGATTCAATTTTTTAGAAGCTTTTTTTTGATACTAGACATATAAGGGTCTTTACGGCTATTTTTTCGGTTATTAGCACGTCTTTTATGGAACGGCTTAAATCCCTAAAATATCGCATCATACTTGGAAACAAATAAATTATTGATTAGTTACAAACTGTCAAAATTAGCTTTGTGAGCATTATAATAAAAACGTAATTGAAAATGAATTTTTCTAAAGAAGAAATGGTGAATATGGTGTTCGTTTTGGACGAAGCCCAAAGAAATAGTTTCCTAGCATCTCGCATTTATAAGCAACGGTACCCTAATATGCGAAATCCAAGGCCCGACACATTTTCTTCACTACGAGGAAGTTTTGAATCAAGTGGAGCAGTGGAATATAGTAAATAATGTATAAATAATAAAAATTGACATCAATGAGGTGAATCAGGGAGGTTCTATTAAAGTTGCATGAAAATCCCCATTTAAGTGCACGGCAAATTGGAGCAGAAACTGATATATGCAGAACTTCTGTCCAAAGGATTATTCACAAGCATAGGTACCATGCATATCACCTATGCTTGCATCATGGCCTTCGTCCTCAGGATTTCGCAGCTCGAATGGAGTTTAGTAGAATAATGCTAAATAAAGTGAGTGAAGACTCTACTTTCCTGGATAAGGTTCTTTTTAGCGATGAAACAACTTTTAACAGCATAGGTGTTGTCAACAGGCATAACATGCACTATTATGCGTCGGAAAACCCTTACTGCAGGGCAAATTGATTTCCAAAAATAAACGGAGCTTGAATGTTTGGGGAGGCGTTATTAGCAGACAAGTTATCGGGCCTTTCTTTTTCAACAGATTAACAGGTACAGAATACTTGAATATTTTGATCAAGCATTTGCCTTTGCTTTTGGTGGATATCAACCTGCAAACTCGGATGCATAGGTACTTCCAACATGACGGCGCACCTGCGCATTATAATCGTGTGCGTAACTATTTGGACACCTGGAGTAACAATCGTTGGATCGGTCGTGATGGGCCTATATCTTGGCCTCCTAGATCACCAGATATGACACCGATGGACTTCTTTTTATGGGGCTACGTTAAGCAAGAGGTTTATAGATATCCATCATCTACCCGGGAAAATATGAAGGAAAGGACTAAGGATGCTTTTAAGGGAACACATGCTTATCCAAAGACTACCGCTGTGTATTCAACACGGTGGAGATATTTTCGAGCAGTTTTGTAGATTAGGTCTTGAGTAGTGATAGTTGTTTGTTTCTGTTGTTGTTTTAGTTGTTTTGTTCTATTACGTTTGAAGCTGATTTATACTGTTCTGATTGTTATTAGTTTTTACGTCAAGTCTGTACTCTAAGTAGAAGTATGGAACTAGCCCACTGTTTGTCTTTTGTTACCATGGATGATGTGATTTTTTTTCCTTAATTTTGGTGTGTTCCATTAAAAGCTTAATAACTCAAAATCTAGTGATTTTATCTGAATCAAACCTCATACCAAAAAAAGCTTATAAAAAATTGAATCCAAACTTTTGCACAAATATACAGGGTCATGCATTCGAAATTTTACTAATTACTAATTACTCGTACCAAAACCCCATAGTATGTTATAACAATCCTCTTCTTTTGAATTGATTTATCAAAATATTTACCCATGTGTGGACGGAATATTACTCATAAACAAATACATTTTAGGAAAATCTAATTACGGCATGTTGTACATGACGTTTGAGGGCACATTTCTAAAATATTGGCAATTGTACAGGATGTCAGAATTTCGACCTACATATCAAAGTTGCGATTTTTCAAATGGAATGTTTAAAATTTTATTGCATATTTGGATAAACCAATTCAAAAGAATTAAATTGATATAACATACTATGGGGTTTTGCTAATTAGCTAGTCTAGAAAAATTCCCCACTTCGGCAACCCCTCAGTCCGCCATTTTGAAATTTGGAGTGCTGAATTTTGTATCAAAAAAAACTTACGAAGGCCTAAGGCCTAAACACCCATTGGGTACCGTGGGGCTATACGGGGATACAGGGGAAGGGTGAACGCCCGTTTTGATGGGCAACGCCTAGGTACCCCGAAAACGGCTACCACGGAGGACGACGGACGTGACAAAAATCTCCGTATTGACAGGCCGCCGATTGAAAGTGCGCTAGATAACTGAGATAGTAGCCATTTCAAAAGACCTCGTGGGTCATATTGTGCATGAAATATTGGGCATGAGAAAGCTTTGCTCACGATGAATGCCGCGTTTGCTCAATCCGAACAAGCGTAACCGTGAGACCACTTCAAAGCAGTGTTTGACGCTGTATAAGCGCAATCCGTAGGAATTTCTACGTCATTTCGTGACCGTCGACAAAATATGGATCCACTGGTACACACCAGAGACTAAGGAACAGTCTAAACAGTGGACCCTACGAACGTGCTCCGAAGAAGGCGAACACTGGCCTACCAGCGGGAAAGGTGATGGCCACCATTTTCTGGGATTCACAAGATGTGATCTATAACGTCTACCTGGCGAAGGGCAAAACGGCCACAGGCTACGAACTGCTGCTCCATCCACCTTATTCTCCAGATTTGGCGCCGTGCAACTTCTATTTGTTTCCAAACTTGAGAAAGTCACTCGCCGCGCAGGCTATGTACCTATCGGACCGCCCTAGTATATCTACTGATTGTTTATGTAGTTGACCTGGACCCGGGATTAGCTTTGGGGTTGAAGTCACACCGCCCCTCAACCCCCCCCCCGCCCCCGAGCTCCACGGACAATATATATAATTCAACATTTTCTGGGTCTTAAGCCCCAGGGCGAATCGAAATTGCAAATAATATGTTTTTGACCCCTTCCCCCCCCCTTTCTCAACGGTTTTCAATTTTCTATCGCCGATACCCTCGAAACGGACATCTTCCTGAACATAAATCGTAAGCTCTCCAGATTTTTTTTCTGGATGCGCCAGTGCCAAGTTTCTGCCCCGGTTCGAAAAAATCGTAGATCTGAGGGTGCTTAGCTTATTATAGTTTTTTGGTTTTACATGAAAATTAATTGAAAGAATCGCATCAATCATCATGACAATGTTCTATAAAAATTGTTTTTTTCTTAGATAAAATCTTTTTTCTAGTCTGATATCATGTGAGAGGTATTCTTCATGTGTCGTGGTAATTTTTAAACGTAATTGAACATTTACGTAATACTACTCAATGTATTTTATACAAGGCATTACGAATTTGAACAGCAGTGACTCAGAAATGGGAAAATTGAATGAACTCCAATTTAATAAAAAAAACAACCTCAAAATGAAATTCCTGTTTAACGGGCTACAAATTAAATGGCTTGATGGTTTTTGACATGTGAGGTGTCTCTAGATTTATTATATATTATCGGCAACACGAATGACACTGGGAATTAAGTAAGTTTTATAAAATCAAAATGGCGGGTTTTTATCGAACATTTCAACTTTGACGTTCTTCTTCTACTAGACAGTCCAAGAAACACTGGGTATACTAAAATTTCATAAAATCAAAATGGCGGATTTCTATAAAAAAATGCAACCTAAAAATTTTTATTTCACGGACTACACTTAAACAACTTGATGGATTTTGGCATATGAGGTATCTCTAGATTTGTCTAGACAATTCAAGTAACTCTAGGGATACTAAAATCTAATTAAATAAAAATGACAGATTTTAAATACAAACTTTGGCATTTGGAAAACCAAAAAAATACATACACCATTCGTTGCTTAAGGGGCCCTATCAGGTATATTTTACTTCTCAAGCGAAAACCCCCTAATGGACGCCGATGATGGGAAATGAATGATATCTGAAATATGTTTAATAAGTGTTTAAAATTACTGGGGTTTGAAACGTATAAAATGAGACCCCCAATTTTAACCCTTTTTTCCAAAAATAATCAGGAGCCCTTGATATGTAAAAAAATAAAGTTGAAGCGTTTTTTTACTTTTTTTGTCTATTGCTTCGCCGCCATTGCACTGATACTACAAAGCTTTTTCGCCTTATATGAAAAGTTCATCAAAATCCGACCGGTACTCTCCAAGATCGACAGACAGGCAGATAGACCGACGGAAGTGAGTGACATAGTTTCTCGTGATGTGCGTGTCATATAAACTCGTAACATCAAAAAACATATTTGCGAAAATTTTATCAAATTGCTTCCATTTAGAGTGAACAACGTGCAGCCCCGCCAAGCATACGGACTGACAGAAGCTGGCATAGTGAGCCTGATATATCCAGGATCGTATAAGCCGGGCAGCGTAGGAAAGTTAACACCCACCGTCGAGTTGAAAATAATCGACTCTGATTCCAAAAAGGTCCTGAAACTGAACCAACCTGGAGAAATATGCGTCAAAGGACCGACCATAATGAAGAGCTACTTGAACGATGAAGAGGTTTCTGAGAAAGATATTGATTCGGATGGGTTCCTGTATACAGGAGATCTGGGTTTCATTAGTGAAGATGGATATTTGTTTATCGTTGATAGGATTAAGGAGGTGATCAAATATAAAGGGTTCCAGGTTAGTATTACATGCGTTCTTAATAATTTTTTAAATCGTCTTCTTCTTCGAGGCGATGTCTATGGAAGCACTTCTAATAAGCATATTGTTTTTAAAACCAAGTCCGATATTCGTCAGCTTGTCAAGAGAGAGAGAGAGAGAGAGAGAGAGAGAGAGAGATGTGCTCAGCGATAAAAAAATATATACATATATTAGAATATAAAGTCAATACCTTTACCTACTACAAAATGGTGGTACATTTAATAACTACCTGACTACATTGACATTTAACTTGATAATTCGAATAAATACGTTGAGTACAGTTTAGAAGATGCTGGAAATGGTTGCCTTGAACTTCTTGGCACAATAACAGCCGGTCAGTAATTTTGCGTCGAACAGTTTCAAAATATTTGTTATTCTCAGCCGTATATCCAATATTGAAGCAGGTTCGGGTTCCTACACCTTTTGCTTCAAATAGCCCCATAAGAAAAGTCTAAAGGTGTCAAATCTGCTGAGCGAGCTGGACATTCCACAGGACCTCGAGGGCCAATCCAACGACCGAGGAAATTGTTATCTAAATAATTTCTAACTTGTCTGTAGTAGTGTGGTGGAGCACCATCTTGCTGGAATACAATATCAGTATCGAATTCATTAGGATTCGCTTCAACGATTTCGGTGATTAGAGGGTCAATAGTATTTTCCAGCATATCCAAATACAGTTCCCCGGTTAAAGTTTGTTCGATGAATAGAGGCCCCACAATATGATTTCCCAATATACCAGCCCAAAAGTTATTTTTTTGTGGATATTGAGTATGAGTTTCCTGGAAGACGGGAAGATTGGTCTCATTCCAATAACGACAATTTTGTCTATGCACATTACCGTTGAGAAAAAATGTACATTCATCACTAAAACAAATATTTTGGATATATGTAGGATGCCGTGCAATGGTTTCCGTCATAGTCTCGCAGAATTCTGTTCTTCGATCACGGTCATCTTCAGTTAGCTGATGTACCATTTAAATTTTGTATGGGTGATACTTATTCTTTTTCAAAAGTCTCCATACAGTAGTAGGACAAACCTCACATACATTCGCGGTGGAAGAAATAGTCTGTTGGGGATTTACTATGATCTCACCAATTATTTGAACTTCCGGGATGTTCGGATGACCTGGGGGCTTTTTGTTGTTTACACTATCAGTAGCTGTAAATTTAGATACAAGTTCCCTTAAATATTTTCTACTGTTAGGACGATTCGAGAAACGATTTTATTAAGAATCCTTTCGGTCTCGTGAAAGTTACGCGTCGCACCATAAATAAAAATCGCCTCGATTTTTTCTTCCAATGGACGAGAATTGACCATTTTAAAAATAGTTCAAACAGTATCTAGCACTCAAACCGAAAACTAAATAAGAATATTTTAACTGTACAATGATGTTTGTTTTCGTACTGATATTCTTGTCACTGTCAACAAAAAATAACAAAACAAGTTTTTATCGCTGTTGCTGTGGATACGGCAGGGAATTACAATTATTTGTAGAGATAGTGGGTTTGTGTTCAAGTAATTATTAAATGTACCACCATTTTGTAGTAGGTAAAGGTATTGACTTTATATTCTAGGGTTATAAAGTACTCGTCCGGAGCTTCAAAATGATGTGCCACAAGACTCCCGTTTTCATATATTTTTTTCCAAGATGGCGCCCAGCGGCCATCTTGACATTTTCATCTGTCAATTTTACTCTGAAATATGGTATCCATGCATCAATTTCATTACCTCAAGTTTTAATTTTTTGAATTGATCCGTTCAAAAAATCAAAGGGGAGGGGGACATTAAAGAAAAGCACTGTATATAGTATATATATATATATGTATATATATATATATATAAACATATAAAGAGAAAATGATCATGCAGAGAAAGGTATAAAAATAGGACAATAATGGGCAAAATCCGCAATAAGGTAAAGTGGATTCGAGCAGAAAATAGGATAGGTAACCCGAGCAATAGGTATTTCTGCTTGTTGGCTTCATCAGGCCCGAAATTAATGCACATATGCAACCACAAAAGTAGATACACATGCTCATACATCCGGATACGGGTGTAACCTGAGGAAACGAAGATGGAGAGGGAAAAAATGACACACGAAGTCTCCAACAAGAGACAAACTACACATTGTAGTATGAAATGGCTAGAAGACCTCGAATTTTCAGGGCGACATCTAACCACAGCCTCCTGGCCGGTTATAGCCACTTGCTGTGGTACTTCAAGCCAAAGGATCTACGTATACATAGTGAGCCTGATATATCCAGGATCGTATAAGCCGGGCAGCGTAGGAAAGTTAACACCCACCGTCGAGTTGAAAATAATCGACTCTGATTCCAAAAAGGTCCTGAAACTGAACCAACCTGGAGAAATATGCGTCAAAGGACCGACCATAATGAAGAGCTACTTGAACGATGAAGAGGTTTCTGAGAAAGATATTGATTCGGATGGGTTCCTGTATACAGGAGATCTGGGTTTCATTAGTGAAGATGGATATTTGTTTATCGTTGATAGGATTAAGGAGGTGATCAAATATAAAGGGTTCCAGGTTAGTATTACATGCGTTCTTAATAATTTTTTAAATCGTCTTCTTCTTCGAGGCGATGTCTATGGAAGCACTTCTAATAAGCATATCGTTTATAAAACCAAGTCCGATATTCGTCAGCTTGTCAAGAGAGAGAGAGAGAGAGAGAGAGAGAGAGAGAGAGAGATGTGCTCAGCGATAAAAAAATATATACATATATTAGAATATAAAGTCAATACCTTTACCTACTACAAAATGGTGGTACATTTAATAACTACCTGACTACATTGACATTTAACTTGATAATTCGAATAAATACGTTGAGTACAGTTTAGAAGATGCTGGAAATGGTTGCCTTGAACTTCTTGGCACAATAACAGCCGGTCAGTAATTTTGCGTCGAACAGTTTCAAAATATTTGTTATTCTCAGCCGTATATCCAATATTGAAGCAGGTTCGGGTTCCTACACCTTTTGCTTCAAATAGCCCCATAAGAAAAGTCTAAAGGTGTCAAATCTGCTGAGCGAGCTGGACATTCCACAGGACCTCGACGGCCAATCCAACGACCGAGGAAATTGTTATCTAAATAATTTCTAACTTGTCTGTAGTAGTGTGGTGGAGCACCATCTTGCTGGAATACAATATCAGTATCGAATTCATTAGGATTCGCTTCAACGATTTCGGTGATTAGAGGGTCAATAGTATTTTCCAGCATATCCAAATACAGTTCCCCGGTTAAAGCTTGTTCGATGAATAGAGGCCCCACAATATGATTTCCCAATATACCAGCCCAAAAGTTATTTTTTTGTGGATATTGAGTATGAGTTTCCTGGAAGACGGGAAGATTGGTCTCATTCCAATAACGACAATTTTGTCTATGCACATTACCGTTGAGAAAAAATGTACATTCATCACTAAAACAAATATTTTGGATATATGTAGGATGCCGTGCAATGGTTTCCGTCATAGTCTCGCAGAATTCTGTTCTTCGATCACGGTCATCTTCAGTTAGCTGATGTACCATTTAAATTTTGTATGGGTGATACTTATTCTTTTTCAAAAGTCTCCATACAGTAGTAGGACAAACCTCACATACATTCGCGGTGGAAGAAATAGTCTGTTGGGGATTTACTATGATCTCACCAATTATTTGAACTTCCGGGATGTTCGGATGACCTGGCGGCTTTTTGTTGTTTACACTATCAGTAGCTGTAAATTTAGATACAAGTTCCCTTAAATATTTTCTACTGTTAGGACGATTCGAGAAACGATTTTATTAAGAATCCTTTCGGTCTCGTGAAAGTTACGCGTCGCACCATAAATAAAAATCGCTTCGATTTTTTCTTCCAATGGACGAGAATTGACCATTTTAAAAATAGTTCAAACAGTATCTAGCACTCAAACCGAAAACTAAATAAGAATATTTTAACTGTACAATGATGTTTGTTTTCGTACTGATATTCTTGTCACTGTCAACAAAAAATAACAAAACAAGTTTTTATCGCTGTTGCTGTGGATACGGCAGGGAATTACAATTATTTGTAGAGATAGTGGGTTTGTGTTCAAGTAATTATTAAATGTACCACCATTTTGTAGTAGGTAAAGGTATTGACTTTATATTCTAGGGTTATAAAGTACTAGTCCGGAGCTTCAAAATGATGTGCCACAAGACTCCCGTTTTCATATATTTTTTTCCAAGATGGCGCCCAGCGGCCATCTTGACATTTTCATCTGTCAATTTTACTCTGAAATATGGTATCGATGCATCAATTTCATTACCTCAAGTTTTAATTTTTTGAATTGATCCGTTCAAAAAATCAAAGGGGAGGGGGACATTAAAGAAAAGCACTGTATATAGTATATATATATATATATATGTATATATATATAAACATAAAGAGAAAATGATCATGCAGAGAAAGGTATAAAAATAGGACAATAATGGGCAAAATCCGCAATAAGGTAAAGTGGATTCGAGCAGAAAATAGGATAGGTAACCCGAGCAATAGGTATTTCTGCTTGTTGGCTTCATCAGGCCCAAAATTAATGCACATATGCAACCACAAAAGTAGATACACATGCTCATACATCCGGATACGGGTGTAACCTGAGGAAACGAAGATGGAGAGGGAAAAAATGACACACGAAGTCTCCAACAAGAGACAAACTACACATTGTAGTATGAAATGGCTAGAAGACCTCGAATTTTCAGGGCGACATCTAACCACAGCCTCCTGGCCGGTTATAGCCACTTGCTGTGGTACTTCAAGCCAAAGGATCTACAAAGAGAAAAAGATCATGCAGAGAAAGGTATATAACAAAAAATAGTTTTTGTTATATACCTTCCGTGCGTAGATTTTTTCATATGAACTTGTGGTGTTCGTCATTCAAACATTTCTGTCCTATGAAAATTGAAATATGGAAATAAAGTCAAGAAGGAGAGCATGTAAATGTTATAAGTATATGTCTCAGAAACAACAAGGTCGATTTGACTCAACTCCGGAAAACGTGTCGATATAAAACCTAGAACATACAGATATTTCAAGCATTTCTACAGAAAAGTGTGCAACATTTCTTGAGTATAAAGTACACACCAAAAAAAAACTATTATTATAGGTCCTAAAATGTCTCATTGACAAGATACAGGGCGTTGTAAATATATATATATATATATATATATACACACAATTTCCAATATTATTCTTCGTTAACGTCGGCGTACTTTCAAAGCAGAAAGAGTTGTGGTTTTTATATGGATTTTACCTCAAATATTCAAACCAACTGTTCCGCAAAAGGAGTAGTCTGACAAAAATTTCCCAAAAGGCGATTCATCCAAATTGAATACATTATTCAGCAATACAATAGATGTTTCAAAAAAGTCACTGGAAAATATTTAAAAGTTGCCCATTTATTATTTCAGCCGCATTAAAAATTTTTTCGCGAAGTTGTGCTTCAGTTGTTATTGGACCAGCCCCATAAACCATTGAAGTCAGGAGATCTTGCTGACCATTTTCGAGGATCAGGAGCATTTCGACTGATCCAGCGATTTGGATAATATGTGGTGGTGCCCCGTTATGAAGAAACCACAAATTCTGTCTCCGTTGTAATGGCATGTTGTCTAAGGCCTGTTCCAAAAGTTCTGGCAGGTTATTGGCTAGAAAGCTGAGGTATCATTCTGCTGACAACTTTGGAGGTAACTCGAAAGGGCCAATTACCTGATCGATAAGAATACCCACCCAAATATTTATTTTAAAACGTTGTTGGAAATGACCTTCACGAATCGTATGAGGTTTTCTTGGGCCCACGTGTAAGTATTATGGAAATATAATATCCCGTCTCGCGTAAAAGTACATTCGTCCGTGGCTAGAACGTTTTTAAAAAGATCCGGATTTTCAATGTTTTTGTGCAAAAACCACTGACAGAATGTTACTGTGCGAGGATAGTATTCTGGCAACAAGGCCTGCACTCGTTGTACATGGTAGGGTTAAAGCAAATTTTCCCGTATGATTCTATGGACTATGGTATGCGATAGTCCTACCAACAACATGTCGGCGAACTCTTGATTCGAGAACATTGTAAATCAACACGTTACACTGTTACCGTTTACGATCGATTGCCGGTTCGATAAGAGTGATGATGACCGACGTGCTGTTGTCATGTGTATTTTAAATATTCAATTTAATGAAACTTACTGACTACAAATTTTGGCTTAACTTAGAACTTACTTAATGCCATTTATTTGTTAATTACCCAATTTAAAAACGTTTTAGACTAGAATATAAGATTCTGGTGATTGTGGTCGATATAAAGCACTTAAAGTTGTAAACTATAAAGCCATTTAGACAAAAATCTATTGACTTTTGGACCATCGGTCATATGAACTTTTTGACATGTTTTGACCCCCCCCCCCTATTACCCATTTCAATAATGACTACCATAACGTTTACACATACATATTTCCGCATGTGGTACAGCTCCTAAATAGTTATTTGTAATTCGTTTGTAACAGGTTCCACCTGCGCAGTTAGAAGACCGACTACTGAAGCACCCTGGAGTAAAGGAAGCTGCAGTTGTGGGAAAACCAGACGCGAAAGCAGGTGAATTACCCACAGCGTTCGTTGTCAAGCAAGAAAATGCAACGGTAACAGCACAAGAGCTGATAGATTTGATAGCAGAACATTTCCACGAGGATAAACGGTTACATGGTGGCGTTATTTTCATCGACGAAATTCCAAAGACGGCTACGGGGAAACTTGCTAGAAAGGCGCTGAGAGACCTAGTTAGACAATATTGAGAAATAATTGACTTCGAAAAACTAACACTATTTATTAAGCATTTCAATTATAATTTGATAAACGACAAACCTCACATATGAATATATATTTGAATGTGTTATGTCTGTAATAAATCATTTAAAATAAAATTAACATCAAAGTGTCAGTGTTATATTTTTAAACAATAAAACAGGGCAGCAGCGGTGGCCGCAGTGGTAGACTCTTCGGTCTCCTGATCAGTCGCCGTGCGCTGTGCGGGTTCGAATCCCGTTCCAAGAGAGATTTTTCTCTTTACTATGGATGTTGTGATTATCCGCAGGTGGTAGACGGTTTCTGACTGTCGAACGCGGAGGTACTACCCGGCGGAGCCAAAATGTGTGCATGTTGCGTGCACACGTGTTCCCTCGCCAGAGTCCGTGTGGCGTCCCCCCCTTTCCCCTGTATCCCCCTTTAGCCCCCCGGTACCCCTTGGGTGTTTAGGCCTACTTTTACTGTATAGTATTTATATGTCACTTCCTTCATTCGGAGTTTCAGTTTGCTAACTTGACCTCTTCAAAAAATAAGTAGCCGGGGACCTTTCTGAATAGCGCTTTATACGATGTAATCAGTACGTAATATCAGACGTAATGTACCCCTAAAAAGCAACACAATAGATTGAGTCAATATTTATAGATACGTCTTACGAAAACAGCTGAAACCTTTCGCGCATAGCAAATTTTCAAAGGCTTTGTCGGTAAATCATACTTGCTCACACAAATAAGCAGCTTGTCTGTTGTTTAAAATAACCGGTTGAGCGTTTTTATTATTTTCTAAAATGTTTATTCCGACGGAACATTAATATTTTACTTCGAAAAGGTGTATTCGCTTGTGAAATGGCACTATTGTTAATTTGAGCGTTAAAAAACGCGCATTTTATTGATGAAGATGGAATACTATCGACGAGCGTTTTTTTTTTCACATCAACTTAACTCTCGTGTGTCCGACACGGGTATCACATATCTTTATAAGTGACATTATGTCGATTTTTTTGACATTATATTGTTTTTTGTGACATCATGTAGGTTTTTCTACAAGATGTTAATTTAGCACTAGCTGATGGACACTTGTTGTGAGCTGGTTTTGTAGTTGGACCTGTTGCCTAAACGTCATGATGCTTCAGTTATCAATGTTCGACTCTGATGTGATGTAAAATCTGCTTCAAAGGTGGCATTATTGAAGGTCTAAGCTGTAAGTTGTATACTATAGCTAGAAGAAATCGGCAGTGCATAAGTGCATAGTGAAGATTTGTGTGCTAATATGTGTTGATGATAACTCCATTGGATTCTTGTCTCAAATTCACTTAATTGAGATTCAAAGCTATACAAATTAGTTGGCTAATTAGTCCATTCTAAAAAAACATATGCAAATTTGCTGAATTTAAAAAAAACGAGGGGGTTAAGAAAAGAAAAACCCTGGTTGGTGAAGGATCAAAGTGAGAAAATATGCTACAGACAGGAATATTTATGAAAGCGAACAGGGTATTACATTATTTTTATTTCCAGTCATTTAAATTCTATAGAAATTTATTTTGCGATGTCAATAGAAAATACAAACCAGCGCCAGCGTCTAGATGTGAGGCATTTCGAAAATGTTTCATGTGTGATGCGTCATTCCTAATTTTTCTGTTATGTGGCTTAATTGCACTCAACGCGGGCGTGATGTGATTTCCCGTAATGCCCTACAAAGTTTTTGAAAACACAAAATAAGAACGGGAAAAATTGTAATTTATAACTTTGAACATAACCTGCCTTCAGAAAGGACAACATATAAATCACCCGTCGGGCACAGCTAATAGATATTATACTTCATTGGCAGCTTATTCAGTAATAATTTTCTCACACAGGGAATAACACTGATTTTATACACATAATCATGAAGATGCGATCTTGCTATTCAACCAACCTTTTTTCTTTCACATCTCGGAGATAAACACTACAGACTACTCGGCTTCATAAAACATATAGTTGCTTTCTTCAACCAACAATGCGTGTAGTTGAATCATTCCTCCATAGATGGTGCACACAGCGATTATAGCAAGCCAACGTGGAATGACCTATTTGCACCTGAACAACTACCTAGTCTGCAAGATTTTTTGTAATTTTTCTTTTCTTTTTTGACGTTTTATGGGTTTTTTACATAAGAGCCGTGCCGGTCGAAGAAATATTTTATCGTTCGCAGTCGAGCTCGCAGGGTTGACGTTTGCCGTGAATACAAGCAATTGCGCTAGTTAAAAACATATCCCAGCGTTCAATTTTCTTTTAAGGCCGTGTGTCACGATACGAAATTTTGTGCTAAGTACGCTAAATTTCATACAAAATTAAGGATAGTGTCAGACAGCATTCAGTACATAATTTTGTATGAACAAATTGAGTGCCAGATTTTTTAGAACCTGTTCTAAATAATATCATGCTAAAAGTTAGTCGACGCCTACTGGGCATTTGAAGCAGTACAATGGCTGATAGAAGCGCTATGTGACAAGAAATTTCATGCTTTGTATTAAGTCCTTGATATTCTCTTGGTGTTCTGTCAAAAAACAAAAATTGGATCTACATTATCAAGCCCAAAAGATATTTCTGTTGGTATACCACAAGGAAGTAAACTAGGTCCACTATTATTTATTTTATACATTAATGAGATTTGTAATATTTTAGATTATTGTAAAATTCAGATAATTGTAGATGATACATTAATATACATATCAGATGAAAATAAAGACACTGCTTTAAAAATGCTCAATTCTGACTTTGCAAAAATCATAAATTGCTTAAATGTAAATAAACTTAAAAGCAAAATGCATGCTAATTGGGAAATATCTAAATGAAAATATTATCACAGTTAGGATAAATGGTGTAATAATTGAAAATGTTGAATCAATTAAATATTTAGTTATATACATTGATAGTAAACTAAAGTTTGATGATCACTATGAATACATTATTTCAAAAATTGACAAAAAACAAGTCACTTTTATAGGGCTTCTCATAGTCTTGGTAGATAATCCAAGAAAATAGTTTATAATACAATATTATTCTACCGCATTTACTATATTGTTCAACTATCTTGTTCACGGCCAATGAAGATGTATTCTCAAAATTACAAGTCCTACAAATTAAAACTATGTGAGTAATATTGAATAAAAATAAGTAAACCAAAATAAAATCTATGTTACAAGAATTTCATATCATATTTGGTTCTTATTTTTAAATTTAAAATAAAAAATCATATTTAGCTAAAACATTTAGAACACTAAATAGAATTGAATAATCGTTACCACAATTATTATACAAGATGAAATATAGATTTTCTTGTACAAAATTGCAATAGTAATATAACTAGCAAATCAATATTTCAGAAAGGATTACTTGAATTCAATAAACTAAATAATGATATAAGGTCTACTTGTAATTTAAAGATGTTTAAAAGAAAATTAAAGGAATATTTCATGGTTGAGAAAAACAAACCTAACCTCAATCACTTTGATCAGTTGTTGTGATCACTTTTGCGAAACTCTCCTGCTCATGCTGTTGACTGGCAGATTGAAAACGTTAAGAGATGTCATGGTCAAAAGAGCAGTGTGACACTACTAAACGAGTATGATAAATATGATTGTTTATATCCTGTAAGAAGCAAGGCCTATAAAAACAGAAAGGCCAAATAAGCTGCGTTGGATAAACCAATTAGCCCTATAAGCCAGTGAATCCTCCACTAGGGTTCTTTATTCAGCATCTAAAGCGCACATATCCAGGCAGCAGCGGTGACCGCAGTAGTAGACTCTTCGGTCTCCTGATCAGTGGCCGTGCGGGTTCGAGTCCCGTCCCAGGAGAAATTTTTCTCTTGGCTATGGATTTTGTGATTGTCCGTAGGTGGTAGACGGTCTCTGACTGTCGAACGTGGAGGTACCACCCGGCGGATCTCGTAGGCGGAGCCAGAATGTGTGCATGTTGCACGCACACGTGTTCCCTCGCCAGAGTCCGTGTGGCGTTCCCCCTTTCCCCTGTATCCCCCTATAGCCCCACGGTACCCAATGGGTGTTTAGGCCTTAGGCCTTCGTGGTAGTTGGAGTATAAAAAAAATATTCCCCGGTCCCCCCCCTGATCTATTTTCGACACCAAATCCTTCTATGGTTTCGTTTACTCCGTTTTTTCATGAGATGGCCTGCTACAACCCGTCCCGCAGTCTATTTTCTATTCGTTTAAAGGAATAAAGTAGCAAACCGCAACGAAAAGTGTGGTTAGAATGACTCCGACGTGATAAATGGCAGTTCGAATTTGACAGTTTTATTTTTTTCTAACGTCTGCGCATGATTTCGTAAGAAATTTATTATAAACATTTCTTCACGTGACAGACAGGATTATGATTTGTAAACAAATTGGGAACTAAATTTAGAAACGCATTTTCTCACAAAATTTTGTAAGAAATTATGAACAAATTTTGTATAGTGACAGACGACCTTTAGCCACAAATAACGTATGTTGCAGCCAAACCAAATTAGATTTTATTTAACATATATAGAATCAAATAAGTAGTAACATGAGTAAATATTCACGGAGAACCAAATTTATCTGATGGCTTGAATTCAATGTATATGAGAGAGGTGTCTGACCTTCTGCATCACTGTTGCTAGGCAATGTGGTGATGACCTTCGCTATTCAGCCGGCTTCTATCTCTTTCTAACATGTGTTGATACACACTTCTCGCGCTTGTCTCTCATAGACATTGAACTCAATCCATCAGACAAATTTGGTCTTCCCTGTAGATGAAATATAATCACCCAGTGAAAAAAATTATTGAACCCGGTCAATAAATAGCAGAGAAATTAATACTTAAAGTTGGTGTATGGACGAAACAACTACCGTCTTCAGTTCGCCGAGGACAGATTCGAAATGTCTGTCGTTATTGTAAATATAACTGCTCTGCACTGCTCAGTACCATGGCATTGTGATTCCTATTATTAAATAAATATTGTAAATTGAGGATTTACAGGAGGGTAAAGCGATAAATTGACTAAAATTGATATTCTCACAGCGATGGAATTTATTTCATCAAATTCATCACATTAGAATGGTCTTCACAAACATATTTTGTACTTTTTTAAGTGTAACAGTTGTCATCACAGATTTTCAAAGTTTGGAAATTTTTACTTTGCACGATTTTCGATACTTTCAATATTCCCAAAATTTTCGGGATTTCGGAAATTTTGAAGATTCTGAAAATTTGGAAAACACCCAAAATGTTGAAAATAAATCTTTAGGCCCAGTTTTACTATTTACCCGCGGGGATCAAAATTTGCTCCTAGAGAGCAAATTGGACCAATCCATAGGCAGTAATGGATCTAATGAATACGAGTATAGACGACTTCTTCTAAAAAACTTGCAATAAGTTATATGATTTGTGTAGGAAGAGCGCCTGGTCCCCATATTAAAACTGGAAAAGCAAATGTTTGCCATTTTAATCATTGTGCTTGTATAAGAATGGTAAACTTCTCAAATGACAATAGATGTTTTTATCCAATGTGAGAATGAATGTAAAGTGGAGATTCCTTGTAACATCATATTTTAAAATGATCAGCTGTTACACAATATCGTTGGACTCTGCAACATGAATTATATTCTTACAATCTGCTGATATTTTATGCCTCTTAAATATTATAGAAAATTTTCATAAATAAAATATTATTTGGACTTTACACTTGAGTCTAGTACATAAATACTTCATTTATTTGGCTTTTCCTTGTGCTGCAACAGCTTCCATAGCTTTCTTCACAGTTTCAGGATCTCCCAAAAATTCTAAACTTTTGATTGGTTTCAAGTTTTCATCCAATGAGTAGACAAATGGAATGCCAGTGGGAAGGTTAAGCTGCATTATGGCATCCTCACTCATTTCTAGAACAGTATCAAAGTGTAATATAGTCAATCTTGGAGTAAGGCAAGATCCGAGATGAAATTTATCCCAAGTATACATGCAAAGAGTGGCACATAACACGATCAAAATGTATAAAGTCAGTTTTTTAAACATTTTCAACTGGTTTCCTTTATAAAAAGGTGGGATATGGGAAAACATCAATATGATGGAAACCTTGAATTTATCAACTTATGACAAATGGAATGCCAGTGTGAAGGTTAAGCTGCATTATGGCATCCTCACTCATTTCTAGAACAATATCAAAGTGTAATATAGTCAATCTTGGAGTAAGGCAAGATCCGAGATGAAATTTATCCTAAGTATACATGCAGAGAGTGGCACATAACATGATGAAAATGTATAAAGTCAGTTTTTTAAACATTTTCAACTGGTTTCCTTTATAAAAGGGTGGGATATGGGAAAACATCAATATGATGGAAACCTTGAATTTATCAACTTATGAGCCACATATTTCAAAAATGTCTTTCTATTAACTGTAGTTCCTTTAGCCTGTGGATTCAGGTGAAAGGCAATTTGAATTAAGTATATCGAAATAAGACCACACAAAGTGCCATCTATTACCAGAACTGATCACTGCTGACTATTGGAACTGTATGCCAGTTTGCTTTGCCAGCTGGCTCACCACTGACTCCAGCATGCCGCCGACTCTGGACCTATACTAGGTCTATTTTCCAGCGAACAAACTAGTGGTATAGCTTTTGTTCTCCCAATAACAAAGAAGGCCAATCATGGTCAGCTGTTTTGTGCTTTTTGGCTACTCATCAGCATGGACTAGATGTGGTCGCTCATGCCTGGGACACCGAATGACTGCATCACAACTATCGTCTATTCCAGAGGTACAGTCTATACAAATCAGACTGTGCAAAGCACCATCTATCACCAGAAACAACCACTGCGGAGAGCACATAGCTGCTATTTTTTGGAACTGAAAAGATTTCAGTTTGCAGTAAATAGCCCAGTCACCAAGTGACTGCTACATGGCTGACAATTCTGACTGTAAACATGTTTAGCTTATTCAATGGCAAGTAGACCACACCTACTATACTGCAATTTCATCATCCAGAATTTTAGCTTGCTACTTTCGCACATTGAAAAATATGTAGAGTAGGGCCTTTTTGAAAAGCAGCATATATCTAGTGTAAGTGGCTTACAGTTGGCAAAAGTAGTTATTTTCAAAATACTAATGTGTTCAAGGGTGAAATAAGTTCAATGGTGGCTAAATGATAATCAGCAAAAAGATTTTGAATAAACTTTGGTTCATTTTTTGACAATTTGAAAGTGGCTTAACCACACAGTGTTTCTATTAGAAGGGTTTATACAGTATTTAAATAGTAATATGAGAATAAGTAGTAGAATAGAATTTTTACATGAGTATTTCCCTCGTCTTAATTTCTACCAATCACAAATGCTCAATTCACACTTAATTAGCACTAGCATATATTTATGGGGACTAATGTATGAATGTTTTATAGCTCTTAAGAAATGATCCTTTTTATTCATGGATGAATTTTCAGTTTTTATTCATCTACTTGTATGTAGTATAAAAGCATGGTTAAGTAACTTTTAAGTGCAAATAAGTAGCATTCATTTTTTATTTTTAGTGAAAGAATTACAAGACTTACGATCAAGATGCTTAACAATCCCTCTTAAGCTGTTTCCATGTGCAGCAATAAGAATACTTTTTCCAGCTTTGATATCTGGGACAATCTTTTCATTCCAGAAAGGCAGTGTACGTTCAATAGTAAGTTTGAGGGACTCGAACATGGGAAATTCATTAGGGGCTGGTCCATTAGCATATCGTGGATCCTTGACGATCGTCTCATAGTATGGATGGTCAGGCTCCATAGGTGGAGGTGGGACATCATAGCTTCGGCGCCAGATTGCTACCTAGATTAAAATTATACAAATAATGTATCACATTTTAAGCTAAATAAATTTCTCACTTGTTCATCTCCATATTTTGCAGCAGTCTCAGCTTTATTAAGTCCAGTAAGACCACCATAGTGCCTTTCATTTAGTCTCCATGTCTTCACAACAGGGATATTTTCCTGACCAATCTCTTTGAGTATAGCCTGTAAAGTATTCTGAGCCCTGGTCAAAACTGATGTGAAAGTTAGATCAAATTTATATCCAGCATCTTTTAGGGCTTTTCCAGCGTTTAAAGCCTCTTGCTTTCCTATAAACAATAGTAAATTCTAATAAGACCGTACTTCAAGAGGACAATGCTTGAAGGTCGGACAAGGTTAAGCACAATTTCTCACCTTTTTCACTCAAATTAGCATCATACCATCCGCAAAACAGATTTTTCTCATTCCACTCAGATTCACCGTGTCTCACCATCACAATTTTGTAGGGTGCCATGGTTTCTTTTATATAATTTAAAAATTTGTTCTACAATTCCCAAATCGCTTAACGTTTCTCACAAGTTTCACTGTTTGACAGACGGCTTTTTGCATTTATTCATAACCTCACTTTGTAACTTCACTTTTTGATAGATTTGGCCTTGACTCAAGTTTGTTCTATAAGGAATTCTTAGTCGATTTCTAACATATTTTCAACAACGGAATATGAACATTTAAGTTATCATTACAAATCTTTTTCTGCTGCTGCTACCGTGTGTGGAATCTCCTGTCTTTCTTATCCGTGTCAAAAGTTTATGTTATTGGGGCAGGGAAATACGAGCCCCTTCCCACTTCAGTTGGCCCAACTATTGAAATCTTAGTTTTTTCTTATCAAACACAAATAATAAAAATGTAGCAGGGTGTTATAGGTTTAAAATATTAACAATGAATATTTTGATAATGTATAATAGAAAACCCCAACTTAATCACTCCCTGATCAAATTTGCAGCTAAAAATAACACATGTTGCAATTACAGCATATCAACCTATTTTCATTTCAATGCAAAATAAGTCTATAACGCATAGGTAGCTGTGAAAAATAAAAGCCATGGCAATTGTTTTTATTAATCACAGCTGTCAGAATACGTTTAAAATAGTTTTGGGTAGTTAAGGTTTTCAAAATTGGTATAGGAAAGGTAATTAGTGAGAAAATTCGGTTACTGATAATTAATTTTTTTAATTCTGGGAAATCAAACTCAGAAATTGCACCTTTATTAGACTTATCGCGGTACAGTGTGAGAAATATTGTTAGAAGATATAACTTAACTGGTTCAGTTAATATTAAGCCACGATGTTTGAAAAAAAAGTAATATCACAAATGCCGACCGAAGAGCATTAAGAAGAATAATCGTGAAAAACAGGCGTGCCAATTATCTACAATTAAGTGCTCTGTGGAGTGACGCTGTAGGAAGGAGAATTTCGAGGTCCAGAACTCATAGAAAGGCCCACAAACTGGGATTTAGCAATTGCAAGGTAAAGTTTTCTTATAAAAAAAGTGAAGTAAAAACCCTAAAGTTGCACAACGTGTTTATAGGTCAAAGAAAAGCCACTATTAACTCCACTGCAAAAGAAAGTCGGCTTAGATGGGCTAAAGAACATAGACAATGGACACCTCAACAATTGTGTGCAATACAATTGAGTGATGAGGCCCGATTAGAAGTTTGTGTTGGTGACAGCCGCAGTAGAGTTATTTGCAAAAAAATGAAGCATTCCATGTTAACTGTCTGAAGAGAAAAGTGAAATTTCCAGCATCCATTATGGTCTGGGGCAGTATGTCATCAAAAGGAGTAGGAAAACTTCATTTTATTGATGGAAATGTGGATACAAACAAACATATGGCAATTTTAGAAGAATCGATTTTACCAGTGATGGAAGAATGTTTGACATCCGGCCAAGATTTTGTGTTTCAGCAACATGGTGCAGCATGCCATACCTCAAAAAAGGCTATAAAATGGATGGAAGAAAACAATGTATCACTTTAGAAATGGGTTTCTAGCAGTCCAGATCTGTCACCTATTGAAACTTCATGGCACGAGATGAAAAAGGTTCTACGACAACATCCTGCTCGTACAATCACCGAACGGAGACAAAAGCTTCAAGAAATATGGGATTGTTTTACACCAAATTTTTGTCAAAACTTGGTTATCACTATGCCCCAAAGAATTTCAACCGTAATAAAAAATAAAGGTGATGTTACCCAATGGTAATATTTCAATTGTTGCTTTAGTTATAGGTCTAAATGATTTCAAATATGTATTTTTTACGACTAGAGTGTATCTAAAATGTTTTTGAGAAAATAAATTGTTTTGGAAGTAAATAGTTTCGTCATGTTTAGTTTATAAAGGCATATTTTGGTACAAATCTTGAAGTGGGCCAACTTTTTCAGAAGATATAGTTCAGGTGTTAAATCACTCCTCTTTTATTTTTAAACAAGTTTGTCGTGAAAATATAAGATATGACGCCCAAAATTTTAATGGTGGAACCATGGCTTTGTAGCTATGATAGCTTTCAAATCTTTAAACTTTTCCTCATGTCAAAGAAAACGTTTATTGATTTAGCAGAGATTATCGGAGAATGCGATAAAAAAAGATATTAGCAAAACCGTATACATGTGGACACTATCCAGTGAGTTTATATGGCCATATTTTAATCTTGTGGTATAGGAACTAGATTTAAAGTGTCCCCAACAACACTAATGAGTATAACTAATAAGGTGCTCTACTTTATGATTAAACTGAAGTCAGCCTGTATCAAGTTTCCCAAACATGAAGCTGATGTACAACAAAAATATTCAATACCCGCCAAAATTCTAACTTGTCACATTACAAATAACAACCAGAAATATAAAACTACTCCGGAGTTGGGAGAATACAACAATTTTACAGTGATAACTATGACATACTCGTATACCAGCTGATTGATGATGACGCTGACCTTATAACCAAACTGATCACCACACTCGCTTGAACGGATCGGTAAATTCCAATCCAAAATGGTAAATACCATTTTCATTTGGTTATTCGGTTGGATTTGATTAATGTGTGCTAAAATAGACCTATGCACCTATTTTTAAGATATACAATGGCGAAAACGTATTAGCTAATGATATCGCTTAGACGTAATGGTAAGCAGAGATAATGTGAATGTCCCTAATCGGAATCCATTCCGTGTTTTCCTTCATTTTCCCAACTGCGATATAACAGCAATGATATACGTAGATAGATTTCGCCATAATCTCGTATCTGTCAAACTTGTGGTATTGCCACGGCCGCCATTTCGGCAGAGAAAATTACATGATCAAACGAACTTACATGTAAGTGATGTTCGATCTTGATTATGTGAAGTTCTCGTCGAAGTAAATATTTAGAATACATATCGTCGTATCCTCGTAGTAGTACCCAACCGCCACGATTTCAAAGCGCGCACGCAGAGAAGGAAAGCGGCATGTTTGTATAAAAATATCGCTTCAATCTGCAGTTCAACAAATAGCATCCAAACGTCCAAATGACACAACAAAGAAAGAAAGGTTATGTTAAACATTTAATTCCCCAATTAACCGCTTAACAAGCCGAAATCGAGCAGTTAACTTAACGGCCAATTAGACAATTTTAACTGGCTGATTAGAGATTATGAAAACCATTCAATGGTTAAAATCTCGATTAAATTTAACTGGAGAATTAATTTTGATCATGAAACCGGCCCTAAATCAAATCCAAGCGGATAACCCCAATTTATAATCAAATTCAAGCGGATAACCAAATGGAAATGGTATTTACCATTTTGGGTTGGTATTTACCAATCCGTTCAAGGGAGTGTAGTTATCAGTTTGGTTATAAGATCCGTGACGTCACGAATCAGCTGTTATATGTCATAGTTATCACCGCAAAATTGTGGTATTTACCCAACTCAAGAGTAGTTTTATATTTCTGGTTATTATTTGAAATGTGACAAGTTAGAATTTTGCCGGGTATTGGATATTGTTATTGTACTTCAGCTTCATTTTTGAGAAAAATAATACAGGGTGACTTCAGTTTTACCATAAAGTGGAGCACCTTATTAGTTATACTCATTACGGTTGTTGGGGACACTTTAAATGTAGTTCCTATGCTTAACAAAGTATCCTGTGTAGCCATATACCACAAGAATATTAAAATATAGCCATATAAACTCACTAGATGATATCCACCTGTATACGGTTTTGCTAATTTCTTTTTTTATCATTTCTGCTGAATCAATAAATGTTTTCTTTGACATGCGGAAAAAATTAGAGAATTGAAAGTTATCATAGCTACAAAGCCATGGTTCCATCATTAAAAAAAATCTGAAAAAAACATTTCTCCCATGAATATTATGAAAGGTTTCTTATTTAAACTTTCCATAAACAGTTGTAGACGAAAAAACACCGATTATTAAGTGATAATAAAAATAATTAGAGATTATATACGCGTTTTTCTAAAATAAACAACTTGCAACAAAACCGCGGTTAAAACCAACGCGTTCAAGCGATTCGTGTAACTGACGTCATCAACCCGTGTGTCATCTTGAACCATATTATAACCGCGCCACATAACACAGAAATTTTGGTTATTCGCTTGGATTTGATTTATGTGTTATGTACCGCGGTTATAATATGGATGACACACGTGTTGATGACGTCAGTTACTCGAATCGCTTGAACGCGTTGGTTTTAACCGCGGTTTTGTTGCAAGTTGTTTATTTTAGAAAAGCACATACTTATGATTTCTGATTATTTTTATGATCACTTAATAATCGGTGCTTTTTCGTCTACAACAGTGTATGAAAAGCTTAAAAAAGAAACCCTTCATAATATTAATGGGAGAAATCTGTTTTTTTTTTCAGAAAATAATTTTTAATGATGGAACCATGGCTTTGTAGCTATGATAACTCTCAATTCTCTGAACTTTGCCACATGACAAAGAAAACATTTATTGATTTATCAGAAATGATAGGAAAAGCCGTATACAGGTGGACATTATCCAGTGAGTTTATATGGCCATATTTTAATATTCTTGTGGCATATGGCTACACAGGATACTTTATTAAGCATAGGCAGTAGATTTAAAGTGTCCCCAACAACAGTTATGATTATAACTAATAAGGTGCTCTACTTTATGTTAAAATTGAAGTCAGCCTGTATCAAGTTTCCCAAAAATGGAGCTGAAGTACAATAAAAATATCCAATACCCGGTAAAATTATAACTTGTCACATTTCAAATAATAACCAGAAATATAAAACTAATCTGGAGTTGGGTGAATACCACACTCGCTTGAACGGATCGGTAAATACCAATCCAAAATGGTAAATACCATTTTCATTTGGTTATCCGCTTGAATTTGACTATACTTTTTCAAACAAATTTTGATTTTTCATCAGTCAACACCATACGGCTATTTAACGATTATGTTAATTATGAACTCCATTATCAAATTTGCTATGTAATTATTTGGTCCAATAGAATAGTTCGAAATCAGTTCTGTACAGCGCTTGCCTCGGGCGTGCACAGAAAATTTTAATTACCTCGAGTTTGAAGCTACTTGTTGGAACAAACCTATAAATGTCATTGGTTTTGTTTTCGTCATCAATTGAAATGCTGATAGCTGATATAATAAATAATATAAACATACATTTTAAAATTGAATTTGATTAATGGTTTTATTTTCAAAAGAATTCTGCACATGTTCCCAACGTTCGACCACCTGCGTAAATATTGGTGCTAAGTCGTGTTATGTCTTGAATAAACATCACTTTCTCATATAAATATTTTAAAATACAGAAGAAACGACAAAATGTAAGTATGAAAAATTACTTTTTTGTCTTTATCATCAATGACTAATATGTGTGATATATGGTGCTCAATAACAATACTGTTTCGGTTTATTTTCTAAATTACATTAATAGCTAATCCAATTTTCTCATAAGATGCTTTTTTGACCCAGTTGTGAGTACTTCTGTTTTGTTTGGCTCACACTATCAAGAATCTGTAGGGAGCACCTTTATGTACAGCATATAAAGTCTTTACCTACAATCTTAATTGGACAACTAAAAACATGGTCCAGATATGTTATTAGAGTATACCAGATATAGGGGTTCGACAAGGAAGATCCACAACTCATGGTCGAACAAATCATCACACTCAGTGAAACCTGGGAAGAAGACGTAAATGGATACATTATTTTTGTGGATTTTAAACAGTTAAGCTTATGGCTTCATCGAAGGGACCAAATTCTTATCAGATACTTCCCAGCTTCAACATACAACCCAAATACATCAGGCTCATAAAAGTAATAGAATTGATAAAAGTAACAGTATGAATACAAACAAATTAACTAATGACAATTTCTTAAAAGCAAAACAGCTTAAATGAGGTGATGAACCTGCATCAACATTATTAGACTTCACCCTCATATATATCATTAAAGGGCTGGATATAAGTAGACAAGTGCTCTTCATAAATAAATCTACACAAAATTTTGAACACATATGCTACTAAAACATTCACATACCTGGAGAGAATGATATTCAGCAAAGAATAACATCTACAAATACAGTCTATTATACAACATTGTCACATATTTTCTGATCAAAACACATCCACTAGAACATTAAAATTCAAATATATAAAACAATTATGAGACTGATAGCATGCTATGACTGCAAGACATGGATTCTAACAGGCACAACACAAAAGAAACTAGAAATATTCCAGCAAAGAAAAAGATAAATGTTTGGACCAGTAAATGAAAGCAAACTATGGAGAGCAAGATATAATTCAGTGCTATCAATTATACAGACACCAATATCTGACTTTTCTAAACTAGAAAGTCCACAATTGGGCATGACATCTGGTTAGAATGGAGGATCACAAACTTAAGATTGAAAAAATAGCAAAATAGCAGAAAGCCCAAGTTTCAGAAGACCTACATAACATTTTAGAAGTACAGTTGTGAACAGCAGTAGCAGTTCAGATGATCTAGAAGCATATGCTGGAGTGTCAAGGCTCAATGTGGACTGTAGTGCCATTGATGACAGAGAGTGGGGGAGGCCAGCAAAAATAATGTTCAATATTCCTTCATTTTAAGGAACATTTAATGTTAAACCTACGCACACACACACACACACACCTTATTGGTCCTGCCTTATGCAAGTCATGCTTTGTTTCTTCTGCCTCAAGTTTTACATTAAGGTGGACATGAATCCAGCATAAGTGAGCTACCATAATAATGTATGAGTTTCTGCTAGTTTATTTTTGCATTTCATAAGGCATTCTTTGGTTAATGGGACATAGTCCTAGCGCCATTGAAAAAAAAAATAAGGCATTCGTATTTTATGGTTCTCATCTCTCTCTTCACAGACAGCTCATTGATCATACTTTAAGGATGATGTGTAGCTACCTGTTTTTTCATATCATACTTCCAAAATATTAATATTTTGATTATTAGAGTTAAGTTGCTCTGTTTAGTATATCTACTAACCCATTTCGTTGGTCCATAGCAAATTCTTGTATAGAATCCTAGAGGTAAATTAATATTTTTTATATAGACATGAAATCTCAAATAAGTTTTTCTTCAGCATCTTTGTGAATTTCAAGAATATGCTGCTGTTGTAATGAAAATCAACGTAGCAAGAGCATTACAATAAAAAATGTTCTGTAAAAGAAACATCTATTATACTTTTTTTTCTAAAGTGCACAGTGTATAAGTAAAATGTCCTTAAATCTTTCAGTTCTGTCATTAAATTCGTATATTTAGTGTTTTATATATATATATATATATATATATAATGTATTTGGTCACGACATACCGATATTTGAGGGGGATATTTTACAAATATTTTTATCCACAAATCCACCCCCTACACTACAATGTCCTACCTAACCCCCTAGAAATGGATCTATACCGCTGCGAACGAAATTAGGGCTGACACGGATATGGTCTGCCTCTCAACACAACACATTGTTTTAAGAACAACAATGTGCATAACCAATAATGGAGGACATTTTGAACAGCTTCTGTAACATCAAACATCTCCAAACTCTCTATAAGAAACATTGATTTGTTATTTTTATGAATAAAAAGTTTGAAAACAATTTGCCTTTTTGTTACACTCATTTTGACCCATGTAAGATAGCATCTATTGCTTAACGTAGAATACTTAGGATAACAAAAAGCTGTAGAATTAGCACAAAGAAAGTACAACTTCACAGACTAGTTTTTTCATTTGTGTGCGGAAATCCGCAAAATAATCAATTTTCTTCCATATTTTTGTCTGTTTTTAAGTATGTTTGACGGTTAGTATCAAAAAAAGTTTTTCAATAATAGCTAGGACAAGAAGTCATCGTTCACGTGACACCAAATTTATCATTCTGTGACACTTACGTACTCAGTTATTACAATTTTCATACATGCACTACCGTAATCGTAACGTAATAAAAATGGCTGCCATTTCAAGGGGAATGAGGTAGGACATTGTAGGGGGGTGGCTTTGTCGATAAAAATATCCCTCTTAAATATCGGTATGTCATGACCAAACACATTGTATACAGAGTGTCCGCAAAGTTGGTGTTTTCCTTTACACGACGTGTAGATCTTGAAAACATAAGCAATTTTTCTTAGTAGCATATACACCAATGTCTTAAGGGAACCGAGATAAAGGGCTCTGCAACATCAAAAATATCTGAATACCGTCCTGTAGCCGCGATTCGCGATATCCCCGACTGGTACTAGGACACTATCTCAACCCGACGACAGAACTGGGTCGGGGTCAGTGTGTCAGGTCAGTATGCAACCTTCAACCGACGGTTACGGTCACGCGTGTAGAGGTAAACGAACCGGTATAATCGATTGCGTTTCAAAAAACAACAAGCACTAGAGACGTGGCTAAAGAAGTGCAAGTATCAAAAACTAAAGTGTGGCAAATGCTGCGTGAAGAGGGGCTGTATCCGTTTCACGTCCAACGTGTACAAGCCCTTCAACCTGACGATTTTCCAGCAAGAGTGCGGTTTTGTGAGTGGTTGTTGCATCAACATGACAATAATCCGGACTTTTTGAAGTGCATATTGGTGACAGACGAATCTACGTTCACGCGTCATGGGGTAAATAACTTTCGCAACACTCATGTTTGGTCAGTAGAAAATCCGCACGCTGTCCGTTGGGCACATTTTCAACAAACATTTTCGGTGAATGTTTGGGCTGGCATGGTGAACGGTATGCTCATTGGACCATTTATTCTCCCAAATCGATTGGACGGGATGCAATACCTAGTCTTTTTACGCAACATTTTGCCTTCCTTGGTAGAAGATGTGCCATTAAGTGTAAGACAATCAATGTGGTTTCTGCACGATGGTCATATTTGTTACCTCTGTTCGTGGTCTACAGGTTTGCACCACCGCCGGCGTCTGCTCGGTAGCGCATCAGCTGATTTCATTTTCTGTTTTAGCGGTATGATTTCGGGCAGAGACGTACTTAGCCCTTCTCGTCAACTGGAGAGTGAGTACTTTTTCCTTTATTTTTTTTACTTGGTCGCCCTCGTTTCACTACACATTACCTTTGTTATTTCAAGGGTAGTTGTTTCTGAAAAGGAAAACCCCAACTTTGCGGACACCCTGTATATATGTGTGTGTAAAAAAGTAAATATTATTATGTTGATATATGGCTGTTACTTTGGTAGGCATTGGTAGTCAAATGAGTCAGAAGTATTATGCACAAAAACTATGCAATTTTGGCGACAAACAATGCAACGTAAACATATAGGCTTCGGCTCCTTCTGATCAAATCGAATTTGTTGAGAGTGAACTTTTCCGCAACAAATCTTAAATCTATGAGCTGAAATCATGAAATTATAAACAATATAGATTCTTGTAGAAGACATTTGTTTTCCTTCTAAAATGTGATGTTTAAAAATATTGCAAAATAACACAATAGGCCCGTATACAAACATCATTTTTGTATTTTGGTATTTCTTCTACTAAATGCAAATATACCATATGAACTCTTCAATAAAACAGTACTTCCATTTTAAATTCCACGCCAATTTCCTATTTTCTTGAAGTCATTATTTCCCGCCACGAAAACTTGATATTTCTCTTTACTTGAATAACCTTGTAGACACTTAAACAGAAACAGGGCGACTGGCCCCATTGAAATGGTTGCTTATTGCGTTAATGTCCGACATTGGTTGTTTGAATACCCAGCGACAGCAGCGATAACATAGTGGTAGATGCTACGGGTCTACTAATCTGTCGCCGTTAGCTGCGCGGGTTCAAATCCCGTGCATGTAACATGCACACGTGTTACCTCGCTAGTTCGTGAGACGTCCCCTCCCCATTCTCCTGTATACCCCTTATCCCCTGGTACCCTTGGGTGTTTAGGGCTTTCATGGTGGTTCAAGTATATGAAAAAAACATTAAGGTTTGACCTCTATGAACTTTTTCTTGTCAGTGCGTGGTTTAAATCAACACTCTCTGACTAGAAAGAAACTATCTGTCACGAAGTAAAAGAAATTGTAAAAGGTATGCTTCAACATTATATTAAATTGCATAGGACAGATTCCAGGAGCGCGGCAATGACATGTTGCATATCTGAATGATATAATAGTTAAAAATCGAAATCCTTAATTCTTATGCATTATTTTTTTAACATAATGCTTATCTCCTGTGCGTATTTTCATGTGCATGTCTTAAACTGGTATATTTTTTTGCAGGAACAATCAAACGCCAAAGAAAAAAGTATGTATTAGTTTTAGTGATGCCTCATAATCATTTATAAAATGTTTTATTGTACCCAATGATAGCAATGTTCAAATATAAAATCACATTGCACCAACAAAACTGTTGAGTTTCTGTTGTCTTACTGAAATCCTCTCATATATTCATAGATAAGATAAACTAACTAAATAAAATAATAGTATATAACTCTGTTCAAAAGCTCAGTGCCTTGATAGCAGAGAAGCGTAGTCAGAAGCAGAAGAGAGACAATAGTGATAATTTGGTTCTAATGGATCCACATGAGGCAATCAACAGCTATGTACAGTTTCAATGTAAGAAAACAGGCTTCATAGAGCAAGAGAGTCCAGAACATTATTGTTTATGGGATAACAATTATCCTGAGCATCCTGGAAGAGTGTCTGTACCTAGAAAAAGGTTAGTAAGGCTTAATGTCTGCACAGTATTTGGAGGTTCATTTAAAACGTAGTATACTAACTTGTATCATTACCTTAACATATTAGTCCTACAGCCAGGATACAAGAGAGTTAAGGTACTTTCTTCCAACCTTCCAGGAGCAAACATTTGAATATTCTCCAAAATTAACGATATTTTAGAATTCCATTTCATCACAAAATGTCCATCATATGTCAATAATAATAATAATCGTCTTTTTATTTGGGCGAAGCTTAGCTTAAGCTATTCCTCCACTTAACCCATACAAAAATAAATACAAACATGAATAAAATGGATAAATGACAATGAGACTCATAATATAACAAAAGTATTATACATATTTAGTATAATTACTCATATCTGAATAAGTACTATTTTTCACTTTTTCAAGTTTTCTACTAATCTACAGCAAGAATTTTGAATTTTATTATAATATGTAATTTTTGAAATGATCAAAGATTCACATAGAATTTTGCTAGTTTTCTAGTCTAAAATTTGTTTATTGACAAAGTACTGAAAAACAACTTGTAGTAATATGATTCACACGTGGAATGAAATTTAGACAGTCGTCAAGAAAAATACCTAAGTTTCATGCACTTGAAGAATTTCGGCATCCAGAGATTTGAATATTCGTATATCTTTTAATATACCTCCTTAATTTTTTGTGAGAAAATATGACTACTTTTGATTTTGTAGGATTTATAGTAAATGGAGGTTATTACTTTTTGCGTAATTATAGTCTTTAAATCCTCATTTATTTGAGATTCTGCAACCATAATTTTGTCATTATTGAAATTGTATAATTGAGAATCATCGTCAAAGAATTGTATATTGCAATATTTCACCACTTTGTCCAGATCAGCTATGTAAAGAATAAAAAGGAGTAGTTCAAGCACTGTTCCTTGGGGCACTCTCCAGGATATTAAAGTTTCTGGAGATCAATAACAACTTTATAAGATCTGTTTCTTATGAAGTTATTGATCATACCAGTTGAAGAGTCAGAATAACGTAAATTTAGCTAATAAAATTGAATTATATATCGTGTCAAATGCTTTGGTAAAATTCAAGGGGATTAAAGATGACACATTTTGATCCCAAGCCTGTAGGATCTTATCTGTTAAGACTAATAACGCTCCTGCACTATTGTACCCTTTTCTGAATCCGCATTGCTTAGCTGGTAGTATTTCAGAATGTACAATGTAATCATTTATCTGTATGTACAATGAGTGCAAATTCTGCAAGGTAACATACTACTTTAGGCTTTCGAACTTAGAGTTAAACTTTGAAAATTAAATATTACTGCCTTACGGTAGCGAGTCTAGGTATATGTTGCTAGAAACAATTTATTTATTTGCTGATTTTGGTTTTTGAAGGTTGAAGAGGTATCCCAGAAGAACTTCAGACCAATGTTTGACATTCTTGTCGACTTATTTGAGTAATCAAAATGCTTTAACCGTCCAAATTTGTATCTGTTAGCTTATGATGGATATTTTGTGCTACACTGATCCCACTAAATGACTTGTTTCTCAAACGACAGAATATGTTTCGGATACGTATAGTGTATTAGACAAAAATAATCTTTAATAAAGTCGCTATTCATATAGCATGTTTTGCTAGACGAAGGAAAAAATCGGAAATCAGGTCCAGTGCTAACGAGTGTCACTTTCTACGAATTTCGGGATAAACATTTTCTATGAAACATACTGAATCTGATTTGTCTTTGACTTAAATCCACAGGCTAGAGGAGCTACAGTTAATAGAAAGATGTGAGAAAGTAACACGGCAAACATTTTCAGAGGAATTATTTTTGATGAAGCACACCAAAGACTTGATTGATAAATTGAAAAGGAGTTCCTCCATTCCAAGGAATGAGTTGGAAAAATATTCCTCCAATTGGGACTCAGTTTATTTTACTAAGGTAATTTGGTTTGTGAACATCTTGTGCTGTATAAAATGTACACACATGCGCAGTTTTACCACTTTTCAGTCTACAAGGATTACGCATATTTACCATTGACTGAACCGATTTTTTTAACGCCAGACGAATTTCGATATGCTAACTTTAAATCTGTAATGTACGTTTGTAATTGCCAAACCAAAGAATCTATAGTGTCACATTTCCTCCAAAAGTGATTCATAACACATGACGTATTTATCAATCATGTTTGCATCTTAATGAAAAAGGCTTTCCCTTATCCAATATTTGTGATATTATACTGATAACTAGCTATCTAAGTAGAGAATTGTTTCCATTATCTATGATCGAAAAGAGAATTATTACATTAACAAAATTATTTCATTGTGCAGGATACTTTTCTAAGTGCTGTCACCGCTGCAGAATCAGCTTTAACACTATCATTAAAGGTGGCACAAGGGTCATTGAAGAATGGCTTAGCTCTCATAAGGCCACCTGGTCACCATGCTATGAAGGATGAAATGTGCGGGTACTGTTTCTTGAATAATGTAGCTCTAGCTGCGGATGCGGCTATATCAAAACAGCTGACCAAAAAGGTTTTAATAGTTGATCATGATGTTCATCATGGCCAAGGAACACAGCGTTTGTTTTATGAAAGGGACGAGTAAGTATAACTAGAAACTTAGCATTTCGGATGAAACATGGAAAACAATATTGGAAAAAACATTTTTTAGTTGCTTTGAGAGCTTTTGGACGATTTTAAAACAAGGGCGGATCCATTGGGGTCATTACTGAATCTAGTTTTTCCGCTAATTTTATTACTTTCGAATCTCTTTCTTAAATTTAATGAAACAAAAACTTTTTGCAAATATGTACTCGTAATGGATACAAACGGGTAAAATATTACCAGATTTGATGAGAAATTACTACACCTTTCAACCCTGATGAATTTGTAAGCGCATCGATGATTGCGTGGATAAGACAGGGTTGCGTAAGCCTAGTTGCCTATACGTTCAGATTGATGCAAATATAAATAAAATAGTGATTCTGCATTTTTTGACTGCATGACCGTTAGTCATTAGTGGAAATTGAGCCTTATGTGTTCTGTGATTAAGGTGCAAATCCAGACATTCGGACACGAATATAAGAAAAAAACCTTTTCACACGCGCCTTAAAACTGTTTGACATTGATAAACATACTTTTTGACGTACAAAATTAGAGTAAAGCGGTTTCATTTGATTGAAATGAGATTGTACCTAGTTGAGTATCATAGTTATCTAACCGTAAAAGTTAAACATAAACATTAGCACATATACTACTTCATATTTTTGACACTTTTTCCAAACATGGAGCAAGAATTCGAAGATGGAGAGGGAACGAAACGACACACAAAGTCACTAACAAAAGCCAACCTACACATTGTACTATAATGGTCAGAAGACCTCGAATTTTCAAAGCGACATCTAACTACAACCACTTGCCGTGGAACTTCAAGCCCAAAGATATATATATATATATATATAAAGAGAGAGAGAGAGAGAGAAAATGATCATCGTTTCCTCAGGTTACACACGTATCCGGATGTGTGGACATATGTATCTAATTTTGTAGTTGCATATGTACATTCATTTCGGGTCTGATGAAGCCAACCAGCAGAAATACGTATGGCTCGAGTTACCTATCCTATTTTCTGCTCGAATCCACTTTCATCCTTTTTGCGGATTTTGCCCATTATTTTCCTACCTTATATATATATATATATATACATAGTCATGCCATAAGTTCTGTCCCTCGTTTTCAAACAAGTGTAGACCTGTTAATACTTGTCCGATTGTTTACATTGTGGTGTCAGTTGATTAAGCGCTTTTCGGGTAATTACATATACCTCAGTTTGTATTGATCTCTCGAAGCATAACGATGGAGTGGGGCAAGGCAGAGAACCGTATTGCAGTGATAGCTTTACATAAGTGTAATCACAGTGCTAGTCAGATTTTTGAACTCTTACGCGGCCTTCAAATATCGCGTAAATTTGTGTCTAGGACCATTCAGCGGTACAATGAGACGTCCTCTGTTGATGACAGGCCAAGAAGCGGAAGACCTCGTCAAGTAAGGACTCCAGCAGCCATCAAAGCCGTAAAAGCCAGGATTCAAAGGAATCCACTCCGGAAGCAGAAGATCCTATCCAGGGAAATGAAGATTCCTGTCCGGACGATGTCGCGCATCATTAAACAAGACCTAGGGCTAGGGGCTTACCGGAGACGTACGGGCCAGCGACTTACGGCCACCTTGCGACACATCAGGGCGACAAGATCCAAGAAGCTCTTGGAGAGGTACGCAGCTGGGGGATTCCGAAAGATTTTGTTCACGGATGAGAAAATCTTCACCATAGAAGAAAAATTCAACCGACAAAATGACAAAGTGTATGCAAGGAGTTCACAGGAAGCTTCGGAGATCATTCCGAGAGTTGAGAGAGGCCACCACCCTGCGTCAGTCATGGTTTGGTGGGGGGTGTCCTACGAAGGGGTCACTCAGCTCCATTTCTGTAAACAGGGCGTGAAAACAAAAGCGGCAAACTATCAGAGCGACATACTGGATCCTATCGTCAAGCCTTTAAGTGGTACATTGTTTGCCAACCAACACTGGGTCTACCAGCAGGATTCCGCCCCCGCTCACAAGGCTAAGAGTACGCAGCGCTGGCTGGAAAGCAATGTGCCAGAGTTCATTGCTGCGGAAGATTGGCCCTCAGGGAGTCCGGACCTCAATCCTTTAGACTACAAGTTGTGGGACCTGCTAGAGCAGTTGGCCTGCTCCAAAGCCCACCGTAATATCGAGTCCCTGAAAGCGGATTTGATCCGATCAGCGGCAGCTATTCCTTTGGAAGCTGTGCGTGCAGTGATAGATGAGTGGCCCGCGAGATTGAAGCAGTGTGTGAAGGCCAAGGGGGGACATTTTGAATAAAACTGTTTGATTATGAATTCTAAAAATGTTGTCGAATAAATAATATCTTTCATATAAATATATCTTATCTTGTTTCATTTTTATCATGAGATTATCATGGGACAGAACTTATGGCACGACTACGTATATATATATATATATATATACTCGTATATATATATATATATATATAATAGAATGTTTTCAAATGACTCTTGAAAAGTATTAATATGAGTAACACTAAACCAATATTTACAGTATTTGACCCACATTACTGATATCAAGAGTGTTAACGGCAGATACATGGAGTGTCTAAGTGCAATAGCCAATCGAATTACTCGTTTTCATTGTCACGCGTAATTACTGTTTAGTTTCTACACTTCAGATTTGGTAGACTGTATAACATCTGATTGGAGTATACATTTCTATGCGGATGATGTACAAATGTATAAAGCATGTAACCAGATAACCTAAATTCCCTGATAATGGACCTCAATATGAGTTTAAGGATTATAGAAAATTATTCAAGGAATTACTGCTTAAAACTTAACCCCTCCAAAACTAAAGTTGCATTGGTTCTAGGTTGAAACAAGCAATTAATACAGATATAGTTTTAAATGGAACTATTATTGAAATTGTGGATGAAATAAACAAATTAGGAATAATGTTGAGACACAAATTTATGCTGTGAGGGTCATGTTCTAAGTCTAAGTAAACTTACAAGAATTTATTGCCAAGTGATATTAAAGCAAGACTTATTGATTCAATAATTCTAACACATCTAGATTATAGAATTACAGTTTATTATGATTTTCTGACAGAGGAAATGAAGCAGAAAATCCAAATTCTTCTAAATTGCTGAATGAGGTTTTGTCACAGCGATATAACATACACATACAAGAACACATTACTAGATATTATATCAGAGAAAATGTTTTAAAATTTCCATATCGCTCATTGCTTTTTTATGCCACCTTGCTTTATGAAATTCTAAAATATAAATCCCCTAGGTATTTGTTTAGTGAATTAGAGAAACGGTCATCACTTCGACAAGTATTACTATGCAATGATCATTGTTACAACATACCAGCCCATACAACATCTAAATTTAAGAAATGTTTGCTTTACACGGCACCGTCTATTCTTAATGATTGTTTCAAATTTTTCGAAGCATTTTCTATCAATAATTTTAAAAGCGAATTTTAAAAAAAAGCTATTACAGCTGCAGTTTATTGATGCCACAACCGCTTAAATCCAAGCTCTTCAAAATAAATTGTTCCTATTATGGATTTTATATCATATAACATTATGTATACTCAACATTGTTACCCATAAGATGTTAATAAGTTTCATATCTGTAGTTTAGTAGGCTGAGGTGAAAAATGCCATTGCCAACCCCCAGCCTTTTGGGGTATTATGTGTTTTGTATTTATGTTATGTATATACTCCAATAAACATTATTATTATTATTATTATTATTATTATTATTATTATTATAGTTGGTCCACTATCACTTTTATGCAAAGCCTACGAGGTTCGATTCAGCGGCTCTGATGCTCTGTCGTTCCATCTATTTAAAAAGGATTTCTAAAGTTTTTGAGTGTCCTAGTTTTTTGTCCGTTTCAATTAGAATAGTTGAAAGTTTTAATATTTAGAACAAAAACGGTTATGCAATCAAAATATGGCATGAATTGTTTTCAGTGTTCTGTATTTCTCCATCCATCGTTACGAAAACGGTCTCTTTTGGCCAAATTTACGAGAGAGTGAATCTGATTATATAGGGGAGGGCAAAGGCAAAGGATACACTGTGAACGTACCACTGAATGAAACAGGGATGGATGATTCTGATTATTTGGCAATAATTATAAACATATTGCTACCAATAGCCTACGAGGTAAGCTTCCACGACTTTACTTCTATCTAAATAGAATTGAAGAATATCATACTTATTATGATACATTCGTAAAACGACAACTTCGAAGCGCTTTATCTCAACTATTACTTGCATTAAATGGACACCTGAATCACCTAAGTGCATCAATGGTCTTATCTAGTTTCTATCAGAAATCATGGTTGCACTTACATTTTTCCGATTTTAACTTCAAAAAATAATCCCTTATAAAGAAAATATCATATAAGATTTTATAGTAGATGATCTAATTGTGATTTAAAAATTATTGTTTTCTTTGTTGTAGTTCAAACCAGACCTAATATTGATTTCCGCGGGATTCGATTGTGCTATTGGATGCCCAGAGGTAACTATACGAATGTTCTTTTCTTTTTTAGTTCAATCCTGGCTTAGTTATTATATCGGCAGGTTTTGACTCTTGTGTAGGGGATGAGAAGGTAAGAGCAAACAGGTTGATAGGTGCATAATACATTCACTTGTTATCAGTCATGCCCGGTCATGCCATAAAATCATGACACTGATTTTGGGATCCCAAAGCCGCTAAACTTGGCTGATCATATTGAGGAGGTATGACCTTTCGTCTGTACACAGTTAATAGGCTTGCAGAAAAGCCGTAGTAACGTCACGGACACGGTCAAATCCACATTCACCCTTGGCCAGTCGGGAATAAATCTTACCAAGTTCGTGTTAATCCTTCTCTGTCAATATTACATGTTACAATGAGCATCTATCAGTATACCCACTTCTGGGTTTTCGAAATGCTCAAGGACTACATGAAAGTAGATTTCTCGCTTTTTCAAATCCACATCATCATTGGCCCGTCTTTGAGAAATCCTAGCGACAGTTTGTTTTACGTCTTCTCTGATATTAATTTAAGACACATTTTGTCCTTCCATGTCTATCAGTAACCCCTACATAGGGATTTCTGGGTTCCGTAGGGGGTGATGGAGGGGTGAGAGTGTGTTACCCCATTGGGACTTTTGATCGCCATGTTGAAAACTGCCTCTATGCGAAATTTCATCAAATTTAGCCAAAAGCTATTATGCATTAGGAAACTGCCTGGTTCTTTGGACTATTGGCAATAGTGAATCGTGAAGATGCAGCTCGAAGACCAATCGCCTCGTTTTAACAGGTATTGACAATGACAGGTTTAACAGAAGTCAGGCACAAACAACGGATTCCAATACCAAAGATCGTTCTCCAATGTAGAAAAAGAAACATACAGAACTTTAAGACAAATATCTGTACGGACTCTTGACTAATGGATAGAGTGGAATACAGTGGACTCAGAGGATTCAGTACTTATCATTATATCTCTGTTGTGCTTCATTATATGAGTTCATTTCCAAGATTATTGTGTTGTTCTTACCGCATATAAGAGAAATACGTATAAATTTGTGGATGATGTATGCATTAGAAACTCGTTTTTGGGATTAGTATTATTTTTATTTTTTTCTAATGATATTTTAGCAATGTCAGTGAAAAGTTTTTGGGAGTGCTGGCACGTCGTTCGGAATATTGCAGCTTGCACGTTTTTCCGTATATACTAGCACGCTCCGTGTGACTGAAAATGGATTTATACTGCATTAGATTTATACCGCAGAACATAGTAGCCGAATTCAGCAATTTTATTCAGTTGTAGATTTTTAAGAAAACGTGTTCAATTCCTACATATAAAAAATATATTCATTATTTTTGTTTGAGACTGTCCTGTGTATCTTTGGACTTTAAAAAGTTTCCACTATTTTGTGCGCGTCCACGTTAAAAATGCATTTTTAAGCTCCCCATTCACAATCGCTCCATCATTCAAAAGTTATCTAACCATGTAGAGACTCTGAGTGTCGAACCAAATATTGAGTCACTCCAAAATTGGACGTACTCCGCCATTCGGAGTGTGGGCGTTTTTTTTTGAAAAAAAATCTGTAAAATGAAGTGACGTAACATCACCAGATCTAACGGCGTTAGATTTCTTTCTTTGAGACTTTTTGAAGGCTCAGGTATACAGCAACAACCCAGAAAACCCTCGTCTTGAAGCAGTGTTGAAACACATATCGCCAATATGGAACCAACGCCTCAAAATTCCGTTATTTGAATGACTTTATTTTTTCAACATGTCATCAATTTTGCACATTTAAATAAATGTTCATGAAACAGAGCCCATTCTTTTCATTTCTAAGATAGCCAGTTTACATTATTACATTGATTTTGTCCCACCATGTTCTTTCATTTGAGGTAGTAAATTGGATGGCTAATAGAGACTATTTTTCAGGGAGAAATGAACGTATCGCCACACTTTTTCGCTCATTTGGTATCGCTACTCTCTGGCTTAGCAGATGGAAAAGTTGTAGTATGTTTGGAAGGAGGATACTTTTTAGAATCACTAGCCGAAGGTGTTGCATGCAGTTTGAAAGCTCTTTTGGGTGATTTCCCCCATCCATTAAACATAGATTCCAAACCAACTGTTAAGGACTCCTTGCAGAAAGTTATAAATAATGTGAAATATTTTTTGAGAGAATATTGGGAATGTTTTAAGCATGAACCAAGCTTTGATTATCCCATAGAAGGTAGAGATATAGATGAAGAAAATGAACATGTGACTAATATTCGGTTCGAGTTTGTTGGACCTGTAATTATTCCTTACGAGACTACTGGGTTTTATCCACAAAGGAGTGATGACGAGATCAAAACATATAACCAGATTGTTGATGATTACAGAAAAGGTAAATATATACATCGAAATTTCGTTTACAAAATAATAAATTATAGAAATTGTGGTACAAATATCTTCTGCTATCTCATTTGAAACATGTCACTAAATCTTGATTTGTCAATTAGACGAGTCCAGAACTCTCCAAAACCATCATCAGCATCTCAGACTCATATTGTTCGTTTTCTTAAGAAATGTTGTTAGCAGCAATTCCATTGATATCAATGCTCCAAGAAATTCATTAAAATCATCGATACTACAATATTCTTTGAATATTTCCTTTGTAGAATATTTGAATGGAAGAAAATGTTCCAACGTAGTGGGATACGTTTATGATGATCATCTTTTAAAGCATGGCCCAACGGAAAATTTGGGCAAAACAATACCTGAAAGGTCGGAAAGATTGACGGAAATTATAAATTGCTGCGAAAAGTTTGGATTGAAAGAACGGTGTAAACTTATTGAGGTAAATAGCCACAGGCACACTCACTATATGTATATTATGTAATTTAAAACATAAATGGCTGGTTCAAGATTCACTCTAAAATGATACATGAAGGAGTAAACTCCTTTATAGGGTTGATTTATTTTTGAAGAAAGATATGCAATTTATACTAAAACTGGTTACTGTCAGTGCGTGATGCGTACGTCATTTTAACATGTTAACTGAAACCCAGTGCACGATAAATCCGTTACCAATGGCGATTATTCAATGGGCACTACAGTACATGCACTGCGCCCGCATGCGTCGTTTTAATTATAATGAATTATCCACTGAGTAGAAGGCTAAAACCTTATCTATGATCTACATTTATTGTAATGGTATTGATAAAAAATTAATTGATTTTTAACATCTTGATGTACAGACAGCGACTTCACAGTATATTTAACCAAATCATACAAAAAATTTGAGGCTCCCTGTCAAAGAATCACCCGTAGATATAAAGGAAATAAGACCTTCGCAAAGATACACAATTATCATTATATAAAGGGTACTATAAAAGTTTTGCAATACAGCTTTATTTATTGACTTTGTTCACAGTTATTTCCGCCACATTCAATACAATTCTCCATCCGCCAAAATCAGTCCTTAAACCAGCTCTTCCAAGTTTCACCCGGAAGTCCAGCAGACTCGTTGTCCCAAGCCATCATCGCTAGAAAACCGTTTTCCTTTTAGCTTCATTTTCAGATGCGGAAACAGTGTAAAGTCGCAGGGAGCAAGATCTGGACTGTAAGGAGGGTGCTCAATAAGTTTCAGTCCAGTAGTGATCAAATACTCGGTGCAGGGTTTGGCGCGGTGAGCTGGAGCGTTGTCATGGTGGAGGTACCAAGTGTCCATTCTTGACGTTGGCCGCAGATTTTTCATAGACTCTATGACTTTAGGCAGGCACTGTTCTGTGTACTACTTAGCTGTGACTGTCTTCTGTGTGTCCAAAACGACACGCTCCACAATCCCGCTCGATTTGAAAAATACAGCTATCATTTCTTTCTCAACAGATCGGGATTTTCTGACAGCTACTGGTGTGTCCTCATCATCAAAGACCCAAACTTTGTTTTCAGCCTTGGTTGGCACATCGTAATAATAGAGCCAAGTCTCGTCACCTGTCACGATGCTGTTCACATACTGAGATTGCCCCTTATCAAACATTTTCAGCATCTTTCGGCACCAAGTCGTGCTACGAGTCTTCTGCTCTTCCGTCAGACTATGCGGTACCCAGAGAGAACAAAGTTGGTATGTCATTCTCCGGTCTTCGTCAAGCGTTTTCCTCGCAGCAGTAATGTTTTCCTGTTACTGAAGTTCGCGGCCTTCCTTTCCTCTCAGCGTCCTCCAGAGTGAATTCTCTGTACCACCTGAATATAGTTGAATATAGTCGTAAGATGAGGACAATCATTCTTTAGTAAAACTGCCGTTATCTCACAATCTCATTACGTGACCACGATGCCATAATCTGCACTTTACACACTGTCAATAGGAATGAACAACTAAATCAAAGACGTGCTGCTCGCGGCTACTATGCTTTTATGGGCATGTCTCAACATGAAGTAACATGCAGCCTCCTGCGTCCGCTTGTTAAGTCATATTGCAAAACTTTTATGGTACCCTTTGTACAATTAGGCAAATTTAAAAACTGTATAGTTGATAGTCAGTACTGCAAAGATAATTTCTCTTTTAGACAGCAAGCAAGTGTAAGAAATGGCTTGTAAGCAGTGAATGACTTACTATATCCTTATGTCAACGCCAAACAAAGTGACGTGCACGTCATCACGATAAAAATTCCCCGACCTAATGCCTAGGTTTCTATCACAAACAATTGCTCTATTGCAGTTTCATATTAATGTGATATATAAAAAAATGGTCATTACTCTCTTATTATGGTTAATAGTCATATAAACATTGTTATTAAAATATCACATAAGTTGCTTTCTGATAAATTTAGACGCATTATGCGAAATAAAATGTTTTGCAAACGCTCCAATCACTTATCGACATGTAAACGCACTAAACCGATTTCGCAGCGTTGACACATTGTCACCTTGAAACTTATTTAAACTGGGAACTGACATTTGTATTAATTTTGACACTGAATCAATTTGTGGCATTTCAAATCTTTATAAATCCTTTGGCCCCGCATACTGTAAATCAACAACTGTTTGTTTCAAAACAAAATTATTCATTTTACGAGTAGATAAAGGCAATTTTGGTATATAAAGATGCCCAAACAGTTAAATAGTCGGTGTAAGGAACTCGTGGCCTCGTTAATGCACTACTTTGAGCAAGAAAGGGACAACAACGGGCCTTTGTTGCCTTTAAATGCTGTTCAAGAGGTAGGTTACTAATAATTATATGTAATGTATATTAATAATAGTGAAATTTTATTTCATTTTTGGTAGCGTGTTGCTGCTGCTTTAAAAATTAGTTTAAGGACAGTTAGTCGTATTTCCGAGGGTGTGAAAAGTGATGCAAATTTAGAATCGCCCAAGAAAAAGCGGAGTTATATTAAACGTGTAACCAACACAGCGACATTGGATACAAGTGCCATTCGAGAAGTGATCTATAATATGTATCACAAAAGTAAGATCTTATTATAATAACTTATCAGAAATTTGCATTAATTTGTTAACTAAATTATAATGTCATATTACACATGGTTTCAGAAGAACAAGTTACGATACAAACTTTATGGTCTCGATTAAGAGATAAGGCATTATTTGATGGTAGTGCCACGTCTTTAAGGCGGTTGCTTAGAGATCTTGGATTTAAGTGGCTTAAGGACAATCCGCGACGAGGGCTCATGGAACTACCAAGTATAGCTTTGAAAAGGGTGGAATTTCTAAGGCAATACAATCAAGCCAAGGTTGAGGCCTTATACCAGTTTGTCTTCCTCGATGAAACTTGGATATTTCAAAATGGGACCATAGGTCGCTCTTGGCAAAATGGAAACCAAAAAAGCGTGAAAGCTATTAAAACAGATGGTAAAAGGTATGTACTTTTACACAATTTGCACTATAAAATTTAAAACTAATATATTTTAGATACATTATATTACATGCTGGAAATGAAAATGGGTTTATTGAGGGTAGTGAAGCGATATTTTCTTCGAAAACAAAATTGAGCGATTACCATGGAGCGATGAACCAGGACAATTTTTTTAAATGGTTTCAACGTCAGTTATTAGAAAAATTGGAGAGTCCATCTATGATTATACTGGATAACGCCCCTTATCACAGCATGGTATTGAACAAAGTGCCCAACAATGCATGGACAAAAAAAAATATCCAAGACTGGTTGACAAATCAAAACATACCATTTTTAAACACAATGTTTAAAACAGAGCTATTGAGTATTGTTGCTCGGTACATAATGCTTCTTAATTATATATATTTTGGTCGACAGTTTATATTTCTTTTGTTTATTCCTATTCTTAAAATAACTGCTTTTTTAGAAACAAACCACCTAAAATATACGTGATTGATGAATTGGCGGAACAACATGGGCACAAAGTTCTTCGTCTGCCTCCTTACCATTGTATATTTAACCCTATTGAGTTAATTTGGGGCATAGCAAAAGGTTACTATAACAGACATATTGGTAGAGATGGTAACAGTGAAAAAGACTGTTTGGATATGTGGAACGAGGCTCTACAAACGGTTACCCCAGACATGTGGAAAAATAGTGTTCGACATACTGAGCAAGAAATTTTTAAATGGTATGAAAGAGAACGAATTTTTGATCGACCAGACATCGAACCTTTAATAATCAACTTTGAGAGTGATGAAGATTCAGATTCAGACAGCGCTGAAGAAAGAAACTCCGACTAACTTTATTGTACAGAAAAAGCTTACACCAGTAGCTTACCTAATTTTAGAATGCATGTTTCTGTATGAATTCTGTAAAATAAATACCATGCATAAAATTTGGAGGACCCCATTTGGATTTTTATTCAGTACCTTTAAGCTATCAATTAAATATGGTAGTTTCATAGTGTCATCTGATCAATAATTGTCATACTTAATGATTATGCAAGTACAGATCTATAATTTTATTATACTATTATTTTTGTTCTCATTTGAGGTTAATATTGCTTATAAACCTAGATATGTAAATAATAAATTTTATTATTTTACAAAAAGTTTGGCAACAATGTAAATTTTTCAACACACCCACCTTGATGACGTGCACGCCACTTTGTTTGGCGTTGACTATAGTTGTATTAGATATTCTTCCTACATTAGCATTAGCGTGCCCATACAGTATTTGTTTAAGGCTAAACTGTCCAGTTTTAAAATTTTCTAACCTGGATGAATTTTCAGACATCTAAGCATGATGAGAGATCTTGGTTAGAAAAAATACACGAAAGAAACTACCTCAACACAGTCTTCCAACTGGAAAACGTTCCAGAAAAGCCAGATTGGTTTCACAATGAATACACTAGTTCTTGTATACAGAAATCGATTTCTTCGATACTGTCACTGGCAAAAGCAATACATAGTGGTGATATAAGGTCTGGAACTGCTATCATCAGGCCGCCTGGGCATCATGCTACATTTGATTCTAGTTCGGGATTTTGTTTTGTTAACAACGTAGTTGCGGCTGGAGAGTACCTCATTCGACAAGAAAAGTATAAAAGGTATATTTTACTGTATTATCATCTTAAACACTTTTTATTGTTGAAATAGTAGGTACCCAGAAACTTCATTCTGTTTTTCCCAGAACGTATATTCCATGTAATAATTATGGATATTCTGCTTACAATAAAATCTATATATCACTAACCTAGTAATCACATAATATTGGCATATTAGCAGTGCACTTAAACGACATAGAAGTTTTACAGAGAACTGTTTTAAAAGTTATGCTCGGAAAACCATAATTATATTCTACAAATGATTTATATATTATATTTATTTTTTACATACTATCAGCCATTATCACAAAGTTGTCAGTGAGCGCGATAAAATCACACATTGCCATGATACACGATATAAAACACGAGCCAAAGCTGTCCATAAACCTCATAAAACCATAATGAACCGATCTTTTCTCTATTTGGCTCCAAAATTATATGAATACGTACCCAAAGACTTAAAACAATTTCGAAATACACATAATTTTAAAAAGAAATAGGAAGTAAACACATTATTGAATTCCTATCAAAGATTCCTTAAAAATTATTATCCTCTACATATACACCTCTTTGATACAAGTTTTTCTTTAAGTTTCTTTTAACTTTTTTATTTTGATTTTGGAACACATTCCAACATACAGGTACGGCTGATCCATATACAGGCATTGTCCTTCTATGGATTAAACCATTTATTTACCAATTCTATGTTATTGTTTTTATATAATGGAGTAAATAAATGGCTACTACTACTACTACTACTACTACCAGAAATGTATCGTTTCTTATTTTTTATTTTTGGTGTCCCAGAGAGTATTTAGGATTTTTAAACTACATTGAGGTAAAATACTACACATTTAAAAGAATTTGTTTTTACTGAAAATGAAGCACCAGAGTGCGGATTTCATTAATTTCTTGAAGATTACGTCATGTCACGTCCTCCATATCGATGCGCGCACTAATGGAATCTGCTCATCAGCTTTTATAGTAAAAAGAGAATGCCTAATATTAGGCAAAAATAGTATTCAGGAGTTGTGGTAGATTCAAATTTTAAATTTCAACATCATTTAGAGAAATTAATTAATAGAATCAGTTCCAAGGAAGGTGTTAAGTTCTTGTTCTGAAAAGTTGACTCAAAAATGCAATCATTCTTATGTATATTGTTCTAGAATTTTGTAGATGCATGCGCACAATTCTAAATAAAGGAAAACAAGAATAAAATGTTAAATCAGTTAAATCGATTATACGTTAAAAATTGCATTTAGTACCTTGTACTGATTTTTTGTTACTAAATTAAGAATAGATTACCAAATTGTCTTAATGAACTAACAAGCTTATATTTCATCTATCATTCATATAAACTTAAAATTTGTTTTTCATTTGAATTCTAATAATTATCTCATAAGTTGCAAATCCGTTTCCCATAAAGGCCTAAAAGCATTTAATCACTTGTCTACTACCTCTCAAAGTCAGTTATATTTGCAAACTTCAAAGGGGACAGCATTTGTTTTTTAAAACGTACAAAATCGGTGTTTCACGTTGAATTCTATATGTCTTTAATTTGTAGTTATGGACAGAGGAAATTATTTTGTTTATGTATGAAATATGTTTCTATGTAGCCATGCATATGCTTCAGCGAGTTACGCAAAATGCGACGAACAGCTTCCATGAGTGCATAATGGGTGAGTAATATACATAAAATGCGTCAACTGTGGCTTCATTTTCAATACAAAAATGATTTCTTAAGGGTGTAATATACCAAGATAAAGATCCTATGCATGGGGATCGTAATACCAGTGAGAGATACAGCTTAGGTTAAATTAGTTTAAAGCTGTGTTTTTTGAGGCGTATTTACATGCCGTTGATACACTGAACGTACAAATGTCATGGCTTACTGAGGTATTTTAAATAAACTAAAATTTGGGAAAACTTTAATAGACATCAAAAAACTAGTGGATCTTTTTCATTGGTACTTTTTAGGCACTTCATGTTTTTGAATCTTGTACCTGACGTTCCATTTTTGAGGAACCACCTTCAACTTTATTTTTCTATATGGTCCGAAAAAAGTACACCCTGTATCTGATAGCATCTCCTAATTTTTTCTCAATTAAACTAAACTAAACACTATTCTGAGTTTTCCTCTAAAGATTCATTTTTTTCGACGTTACGGGCTTTTTGAATGAACCATATTCATCTAAATTTCGAGCCAACTCTAAGAAAATAGACTTACTTGGCTGCCTTCTTTTGGGAAATTTATCAAGATACAATTCTGCAGTATTTTTAATATTTTTGTAACACAGAATGAAGCGCGTCAGCATTTCGAACTTTTCTTCATTGCTTAAATGACCGCCTGGCATCATTGATGATAATAGAGCAACATACACAATAATAACAATAGTCGGTAACAGGAATTTGTTTGCAACACCTAGTTAAAAAATAAAAAAAAATAGAACAGTAAAAATCCAATTTTCCTAATAACTGAGAAAATGAATGTAACATGAATGATACATGGTTGAATTCGTTTAAAAAAACTATTCGATACAGGCTGTACTTTCTTCGGACCATATTAAAAAATAAAGCTTATGATGGTTCCTCACACCAAAATTTCGTAAAAAAATGTATTTATTTTTCAACATAATCTCCTTTGAGCTCTACGAGTATACACTTTTCCCAGCGATTTTCCGAGGGGGCTAAATCTGGTGAATAGGGTGCATGAAGTAGCAATTCAAACTTTAATTCGTTAATTTTGGCCATTGCAATAACGGATTTGTGAGCTGGTGCATTGTCTTGATGGAACAACACTTTCTTCTTAACCAAACGCGGCCGTTTTTGCTTGATTTCATCGCTCAAACGTTGCCATAAGTTCGCGTAATACTCGCCGTTGATAGTTTTACCTTTTTCAAGATAGTAAATGAAAATTATCCCACGCGCATCCCAAAAAACCGACGCCATAACCTTGCCTGCAGATGAAACGGTCTTCGCCTTCTTTGGAGCCGGTTGTCCCTTTCGAGTCCCTTGTTTCGATTGTTCTTTTGTCTCGGGTGTAAAGTGATGGACCCATATTTCATCCATGGTTATGAAACGAAGCAAAATTCTGCTTTGTTGCTGTGAAACTTCTCTAAACACTCAATTGAAACATCTTCACGACACTGTTTTTGCTCGATTGTGAGCAATCGCGGCACCCATCTTGCACACAGCTTTCTCATGTCCAAATTTTCAGATAATATGCGATGAACCGCACTTTTTGAAATGCCTACTATGTCTGCTAGCTCGCGCACTTTCAGTCGACGATCATTCAGTACCGCTTTGTGAATTTTCTTCACCATTTCTGGAGTCGTCACCTCATTTGGTCGACCACTGCATATGGCCTCGTTTAAACTCTGCTACCCAATATTTTACTGTTGTAAACGAAGGAGCAGACTCACCCCGAGTAGAATCCAGTTTAGCTTTTACATTGGTTGGGCTGAGGCCTTTGAAATAAAAGTATTGTACCACATAACGATGACCAATTTTCTCCATTTTCACAAATTCACTGAAAACGTTCAGTATTGATGGCTGCCAAACAAATACCAAACAACGTCTTCAAACTTGACACATATGCTTTATAGGTTGCATACTTTCTAATACAATGATATTTTTCAAACAACTATCGTCATCTCTAGGTCAGGCCGGGTACTTCTGGGACCACCCTCGTAATAGTTTTTAAATCACCTATTTTTTTATTTTCAGAATTCTAATAGTCGATTTTGATATTCACCATGGAAACGGTACACAAAATTTGACGTACGATAGATCAGATATACTTTATCTATCTGTGCATCGATTTGACCAAGGCAAATTCTTCCCAACTTGCAAGGAAGCAGATTGTACCTATACGGGTAAAAATGCTGGTGAAGGGTACAACGTCAACGTTCCATTTAATAAGGTATCGTCTCTAATTCTAATATAATAAAAGAAGTTTTATTTCCATTTGAGCACAAAGCAGCATCGCAAAAAAGTCATACACATAAACATAGTATAAAACAAACAAAATTATTTGGATTAACGCATACATAACAAATGAAAACATCCAAAAGACATAGTTAAAATATTCCTCTTCGGAGTAAAAATAATTTTCTATAAATACTGTCACATTTTCCATCGCTTTTGCATACAAAGGTAGTGTGTTGTAAGAATTTAAAAGGATAACGTTTGGGCGCAAATTGTGAATGATGTCTGTGGGTCTTTCTGTTTGAATCTGTTAATATCTTTATTAAGATAAACAACACAATTGTGAATATAAAGGGAAAAAACTGACATGATACCATTGTCCTTGATTAATGTGCGACATGAAAATCTCTTATTTTTGCCAGATATCGTTTTTAAGATTCTCTTTGGGATTGCACAGTTTTCGTTAATCATAATACAGTTTCTTAAACAGATGATGCAGTAATTGAGTAAAGAATGTACATAGGCAAAATAATACATTAACAAAACGTCTGTCCTGACATATAATTTCAACTGCCGTAATTTATAGCAATGTGGCATTAGTTTACAAGAAATAATATCTATATCATATGACCAAGTAAGAGATTCATCAAAATGAGACCCAAGTATTTAATATGCTTGCTTTGATTAGCGGTGGAGCCACAACATTTAATAAGGAAGCTTAAGTCCACGTTAACAGTTTTATACATGATGAACTTAGTTTTGTTATTGTTTAAGACCAGGCGAATAACAACACAATATTTTTTCATGTTTCATTTCAACACAAGATCTGCAGCCATGCTCTCTAAGTAAAGCATTATCTTCAGCTTTTAAAAGAAAAGCCGTATCATCGGCATATAAATAAATTAAGATGTTGGGGAATTTTCCAGTTAAATCATTTACAAAAAATATAAACAACGTAGGGGCCAAAATACTACATTAGGGAACTCCATACACGATTTCTATGAATTCAGACATTTGCATACCATTATCTTTTATCAAAACTCTTTGAGTCGGATTTGATGAGTGCAGCCAATCATAAGCGCACCCTCTAACAACATAACTGTATAATTTATCAAAGGACATGCTTAAGTCACAAAATAATGTAACTAATTTATCTTGGTGATTCTAATAGTTTCATATATACTGAACGCACTGCATCTTGCTTTGATTTGCGTTTGCGAAAACCATACTGATAATCGTGCAAAATTTGTAGGTTTTTCGCAAACGCTGTTAACCTAGCATTGTAGCTTTTTTCGAATATTTTCGAAAATGCTGACAGAAGACCAATGTTTCTGTAGTTGGTTATATTGTTTCTAGTCTCTTTTTTAAACATCGGAATGACTAATGCGTAATACAGGTGGAAACATCCCTTCCTCAAACGACAGGTTTGCCAAATGTGTCAGTGGTTCACTGATATAATCTCGTATTATATGCATCAATAGTGAAAACGAATCTCGTCTTCTCCACTGGAATTTTTTGCTGATATTTCCTTTATTATGTTGAAGATTTCGGATATGCTAACCGGTGATAAAAAAGCGAGTTGACTACTGAGTGGATATTACGAGTATACTTTTTCTTTACCGGTTGACCGATGAATTTGAACTGAATTTAAAACCCTAATCATTAAAAACGTCAGCTAAATCGTTTTCACAGATCTGTTTGCCATATTCTCAAAACAAAACAGCGGCTACCGTAGAATCGTTATCTTTATAAATGGTGATGATTTTCCGAGCAGTTTGGGACTTATTTGACGATGTTAACATTATATTGCTGTAGTAGCCTTTTTTGGCGTTGCGTACATTAACACTATATTGCTTTTGAACACAGTTATACCTGGTATATATACTAAGTGACATATAAATCCGAACACCTAGTTTAAATGGTTTTATTTTAATAAAATTTTGTATAAGTACTTAATGAAGCATAATAAGTAAATGATAAAAATTTCAAAATGGTTGCACTGCTTTAAAGCCCTTTGACCTTTAATAATGTGTGGATGCACCCTGATGTGCTACGCATTCTCCAACGCGCCTAGGCATGCTTCTGATCAGGTGGTCAATGTCCTCCTGTGGTATCTCATTCCAGGCAACCTCCAACACCTCTCGAAGTGCTTCTAGAGTCTGAGGAGGACGTTGCAAATTGAGCAATGTCCTACCCATCATATCCCACATGTGCTCAATTGGGGATAAGTTGGGAGATCTTGGTGGCCATGGTAACAATGTGACATCATTATGTTGAAAGAAGTCTATTGTGAGTCTTGCAACATGTGGTCGGGCATTATCTTGTTGGAAAGTTGGATCTGCCAGGGTGTCAAGATAGATGGGGTTCTAGAACTTCGTGGATATAACACTGGGCGTTCATGTTACCTCTGATGAAGATTAAAGGTGACCTGGAACCATAAGCTATAGCACCCCAAACCATAACTCCAACAGTGTGATGAACATGTCTTTCAACAAAAAACTGTGGATTCCTCCTTTCACCACGTCGCCTTCTAACCCTGGCACGACCATCGTGCATGCCTAAACAAAATCGAGACTCGTCACTAAAGACAATACTGTTCCATTCCTGATCCCAGAGTGACCGTTGTCTGCACCACTCAAGGCGATTACGTCGGTGTTCTCGAATTAAAGGGAGGACCCAGTGTGGCCGGTATGAAAACAAGCCAAAACTTCTCATTCGTCGGTAAACACTTCGCATGCCAATAGGTCTTCCGTGTTCTGCAAACCATTCATTTGCAATGGACCTAGTAGTGGAGAAACGTTCCCTTAAGGCCAATACTCTTAGGCGGCGATCTTCACGGTCTGTTGTTCTACGGCGGCGTCCAGTGCCCCTTGCTCTTTGCGTACGGCCTTCTCGAAGCCATGCCTGACAACACCTAACCACAGTGTCTACACTTCTTTGCACTCTAACTGCAATTGCCCGAAAAGAAAGTCCAACTTCCCGAAGTCCCACTATACGGCCCCTATCAAACTCACTAAGTTGACGAAATCGTACAGGTCTCCGTACTCTAGGCATCGTAACCGATCGTAAAGGATGTCAAGAACCAAAATCCGCCAACGTTGATTCTTTACTGCGGCTGAAATATTCATTTTTAGAGCGTTAGTGAATTAAAAAAAAGCATTATAAAAACCGGAATGTCCAACTGATAAGGCTGAAAATTTTTTCACTTGTTATTTACAGTAAGATAATTACATTCACCAACTTTTATTAAAATAATACCATTTAAACTGTTTGTTCGGATTTATATGTCACTTAGTATACATATATGGTTGCCATTAGTTTCTTTGTACAATTTAAATGCGTCGCTCAAAAAGATTTGTTTATTTAGGACAGGCTCTTAATTTCAACTTTTAAAAAGATGCTGATTTGGTTTATCATATTCTAGGGCAGTAAAGGTGACAGCGACTATTGGTACGTCTGGCATAAGTTGGTGCTTCCAATCGCATATTCCTTCAATCCCGAGTTTGTGATCATTTCAGCAGGTTTTGATGCAGCGTATTTTGATCCACTTGGTGGTGGATATCAACTGACTCCGGAGATGTATGGTCATTTTATATATACCCTGAAGTCATTAGCCTCAGGAAGAATGTTGGTGGCACTGGAAGGCGGTTATCATGTCGAAAGCACTGCCTTGTCAATGGTGGCTTGTGTCAAAGCACTTTTAGGTAAGTACTATATAACACATATAACATATTCCAGTAGATGATACACAAACAGTTGAAAGCCATGCCTGCACAAAAATATTCATACGAACGGTTTGGTTGCATTGGTTCCGGTTGTAAATTCGATGAAAGTGGCCTGTATATTTTAGTAGACTTCTTCACCTGCTAGTCACAGCCTTTGATAAATTTCCCGAAAGTCCGTTGAAGAATTAAAAAAATATATCGGAGCTTTCTTCCCTCACGATACCTCTGGAGACGCATGTCCAACGGCTGATATAAAATGTTCTTTATGCTTGTATTTTAAAACAAAAAAACACCGGATGACGGAAACGCAACACTTACCGAGAGGCCGCTGACCACTTGTGTTTACATCATATAAAGGTCAAAGCGATTTTCTTTAATATTACAGTATATTTTTGACCCCGATATTCGAAAGAAGGAAAAATTCCAAGTCTTGATCTGACCTTGAAAGTCGACAAGGTCAAAGTGATTTTCTTAAATGGGACCTTATACTTATGACCCCGGAAATCAAAACAGGGGAACATTCTAAGTTTGGATATGACCGTGACATTGAAGGTCAAAGCGTTTTCCTCAAATGGTAACCTATACTTTAGACACTTGAAAACGAACTAGGATAAAATTATTAAAGCTTGTTTCATACTATGACTTTGGTATTGGCCTTGAATGTCATTTCAAGATCAATAGGATCAATAGGAAAATTTGAAGTTTGGATATGTCCTTGACTAAGACCTTGACAGAGAAGTCATTCCAAGGTAAATCCCATTTACTTGAACGGACGCCTATACTTTTTATCCTAGAAATCAGATTGAAAAGCTTTCAATCCAAATGCGACTTGGACCGTAATTTTGTCATTGATCTTGACTTGGGATTCGGAAATTTGCGACCTCTGACCCCCCATTCGGGCTCTACGATTCGAAAAACCCTAGGTATCGATTTTTCAGGTGAAAATAGCGATACACGTTAGGGCCACCCTGTATATGTACCGTAACGAATATATGATTTTTCATAGTCAAAATCGATGATAGGGTCCTAATAAAATACGATAAAAAATCAGCAGAACATTGGAAGCATTTGTTTCGGAACAGGAAACTTTGCAACACATCGAAAATTGTTTTTCAAAATTTGTCTGACGGATCTGACCGACATTTTTAATTTATTGTAACAACACAGTAAATAACTCAAATCCAGAATTACAAGCAGTTGCGACTATTAAGACGGTCGGAAAAAATATCAAACTTTTGAATTTTCGTCCACTTATTTTTATCCATTGTCAATTTACAATGTCAATTCCACAGAGCATCATAAATAAATGCATAAGTTATATCTGTCTATTCAAAACGAGTAAAAAAGTCCTGTTGACTGTTGCTCTGGAGGTGATATTTTTCGAGGAATATCACAAAATATGCCAAAAAAAAAACGGCAAAAACCAGGTACTTGAAGCGCCAGATTGGCGCATATCAATATTCTTGATTTACATGGTGTCCTGAAACACCTCCAATAGACATCCCAGCGATTTCAGAAAATATTCCCTTAGCAGTAATCCGCCTGGAATAATACCAGACATTTCAGATGTCAACTGAGTGTGAGCGTTCAGTCTCTGGATCAGCTCCACCTATTCCACCAATTCCTAGTGTAATGGCCATCTTGCATTAGGAAATTTTCAAGCGACCTCAAAAACCATTGAGTATCAACTTTCATCTGAAAGAAACCTCCTAGTACTTGTTTGTTCATTAATAACGTAAACATTTTGGTGAGAAGTCTTATCCCTGTATGCGATCTTGTTCATGCATTGTATGCAATTTTTCCAATTTTTAGGGATATAGCTTTGAACCTTTTTTCCGTGAACTTCTTTGTCGCAGGCACTACTCAGTAAGTAATTTATTTCTACTTTCCGGAGGTATCTACTAGAAGGCTTCTCAAAAATTTGTTGTGCAGATTTTTTGGATTGTGACACTAAGTATTCGATAAGCCAAGAGCCGTTCATTTCGGTTGGTCGGAGTCCAGATGAGATGCGTTTCCTTGGATATTTTTGAGTTGCTAACAAATGCGCATTGCTTGAAAATTCTATTCCAATGGGACATGAATAGTTTGCTTTAAAAAATTATTATATATTAAGATAAGTTAATTTAAAACTGGATCATTGATAATGAGTTATTCAAAGAGGACAGGAAGCTAACGCAGAAAAATGGTTGGCCAACTTTGCAGTGTGAAATTTGCTGTATCCTCAATACTGTAATTTAATTTATATGACTGTTCTACATATATCAGTATATCGTTTTTTACTCGGCAATGCAAGAGTGGCAAGTATAATGTTTTCACTTTTTTCTATAGACTTTAAATGGCAAAGCTTCTGCCATGTGGGTTAGGCTTCCGTCAGGTGTAAGGAAAATTTGCTCTTTATTCACTGACCTTGACCGTTTTTCAGGAATTGTGTGGTTACATTATCTCAGTATCCAGAATAACAATCAATTCCTATTCTTCGTCAAATACAAAGGATTGAAATGAGTTCTATTTCAATGTAGGAATTTCAAAAACGCTTTTATTTTCCAGGTGATCCTATACCAGTGCCAAATTTGTCTGAAATGGTGTCAGAAGATACAGTTGATACTGTAAGGAATGTGTTGAAATGGCATAAAAAGAACTGGCCGATGCTGAAAGTGAATAAAGCTATTGCCAACTGGTGTGACTTCACTGGACCCAACAAAAGTTGATGAGCACAGGTCCTCATTTATGGACAAATAATAAATCTTATAAAAGACAATATATGATACAACTTACGTTATATCTAATAATAACAAACTGCTCATATAATGAATTTAATATATCATTCCAGTATTTTAATATCTGTAATTTCTGTGTAATTATTAATATTTATTGACTATTAATGTTTGTTGTTTTAAATTGTTAACAATAAAAACCGTAAACCTGTTTTGTGTTTTAATTACACACTGTTTGTATTGTTTTTGTAGCTGAAATATTATCCTCTACAGTAAGAGCCTTTGTTTAAAACAGGAAATAAAGTTAATTTCATAACCAAATTTTGCCATTTGTGTATTAGTGTATTATAAATAGAAAAATGCACCGCAAACGTCGCGTAAGTGGGGCTACATATGTGGTAACAGTAACATGTAATAGTATATAAGGCAATCAACTGAGATTAACATAATCATCTGCGAAATTTAATTCAGATGTTCAAATGAGGAAATGCAATAATCTAGTACACAGTAAAATCTTGGAGTTGTAATTCAGCAGTAGTAATGTCTTCATCAAGCCAAGTTTCAAACAAAACTATAATGTCATATTCATTAGTAAGACATAATCTGGAGTAAAACTCATCAAGCCTTCCTCTAACACTACGAATATTTTGGTAAAAAATCCTCAAATTATGGTAACTATCATATAGTCATTCAGTATCTTCATCATTTTCATTTAATTGATTATCAGCAACAATAGATTTAACAATCGTTGGTTTACCTCTGATATGTTTAATTTTTAAATCCTTTTCTCCCTTGCCAGATCTATGCTTCACTTCATTTTTAAGTTTTTGCATGTGAGCTTGTTGTTTTTTTGTAAGATCACTACTGACAAAAACATTATTTTTAAAAATTTCACTACTATGATGATAAATCCAGTGTAGATTATCAGAGGATTTCATCACAACTTTGACTCATCTATTCTTTCCTTCAACAAAATCACGTCCAAGTCGAAAAACTTTAAGATCATCAAAGTTAAATGGAATAACAAGCTTTGTATCCTCGAGCAATTTATTTATTTTCACAGAATCAGTAGCAGCTGCGTTCACTGAGTCATCAAAGTTATATATAATATAAGTTCTCTCTATTCATCCTATCTTTCATTTCATCATATAAAGACTCACCAGTAACAATTTCTTCAAGTGTATCAACCTTTTTTTCAAGTTCTGTTAGCTTGTTGCTGCAGGATTGAATATCTGACTTAATTGCACTCAATGACGCATCTACTTTGTCAAGCATTTTCAAAATAAGTTGAAATCCAGGATCTAGTCCAGCAAAATCTTCATCATGAACTTGACCACCAGTACCACAACAGTAATATAACTTCCATCAGGCAACAACTTTGCCCTGTTACCACATGACTTATGATAATATATAGAGCATGATTTACATTCTTCAACAGAGTAGGTCCCATGTCAGGACACATCAGACATTTACACTTTATATTGCTATTGCTATAGAAAATTTGGTTGTTTTTCTTTTAAGACTACTTACTAGATGTGTGGATGTTAAATACCTATTACTATGCATTCCTAATTCATTTCTGGTTACAATTAAAAAAAGACACGTCAAAATTCATTCAAATAAGGCTGGTCGAATTCCATATAGTCAAGGACATTCTTGACAAACAAGGATCTTTAAAACTAGTTCCAAAGTTTCCGAGATATAACAAGAGAAAAGCAATATGAAAAAATGAAAATATTAACGTCGCTCAATTTCCTAAATATTCTTTAAGTATCCATTAATATAATCACAAAGCATTTCAGGAGGTATAATTATTGTAAGCGTTTGTTTTTAATTATTAACCAAGCGGGCGCTCAGTGCATTTATAGTATGTATGAGCGCGAGAGAGAGATTGCAGCTATGTGCACTCACACAGAATATACACGGACCGCGCGCTTGTTAACGATAAATAAATAAAATAAAAAATACATTTCTGACAACGAGCTTTTATAAAGCTGTTAAACTGAACTAGAAACTTAAAAGTATTTTTTTCCGATAGGAAATATTTAGGCGATAATGATGCTCCATTCAAGTCAAATACAAGCGTTACATTACAAAACCACATACAAAACATAAATATACACCCTTTTTTTCCACAAGATATACAGTGTGTCCCAGATTCGCTTCTCCGTACAGTGATCTTGACTTCTGTTATACCTACAGCAAAGGTTAAATGGGGAAAGTTTTAGAGGAAACTTAGTGCTTTCGACAGCCGGCTTCAGATTTACGATCGGTCAATTGGTTTTGAAAATATCAAAGAAAAACAGAAAATCCAAAACAGCTAATTTGGCAGCTATCAAAATGGAACATTATTCGGACATTTTTTTAAGAAAAACTCGCCTCAACTTTAATTTTTCTTAAGTGCATAAAAGATCGGAGTATCACCGAAATATCATCACACGTAATTTTATGTATTATTTTTTTTTTCTATCTTCACAACTCTGAACAGGGGCGGATTCAGGAATTCGTCTAGGAGCGGGCGCAAACGATATTTGGGGCTGGTCATTTTTTAAACCCAGTGGAACTTCTAGAATTTATCCTATTATTGCTCCTTAAATCCATTGTGTTTTACCTGGTCAAGGCCAGCTTGAAAAAAAAATGGAAATTGCTCAGAAAGCCAATATTTTATTATATGAGAACAAAAGAAGTAGGTGGCATTTGTAATTAACACAATCAAGCACTTCTATTATATCAGCAGTATAAGGCATGTATTCCTCCATTCCGACGTTGATAATTTCGGTTATCGAAGAATTGACAGACAGAAAGAAAGGTAGAGAAGAAGTCTCTGAAGCCCCTCCCAGTCGCCATGTCCGTAATGCCAAATTTTGCGTCATGTGCGAGTTTCTGCTGAAACAGCGGGTTCTGACCGAAACCTGACCTCCTCAACACAGTGGTCTGAGTTACCCAGAGGAGTCAGGACAGCAGAGCTGTAAGGGACAGGATGCGTGGTCAGAAAAAATACGGCCCCTCACCAGCTGGGTCAGCCCTTGAATACGAGCGAACGCTTTAATTGCACGACCTGCTGCATCGGTCTTGTTTGAGCCCAACCAAAACGAATTATGGTCATTGAAATCACCTCTGAAGCGGAGTAATTGATGTTCAGGAAGTCGACCTTGACCGCGAGGTATTCAAGAAGGTCATCCCAGTTATGGTCCGAGGGGAGTGATAAAGGCAGCAAATAAATTTGGGGGATGTTTTGGAAGCCACAGAATGTCCTTCCGGTCTGATTCCAGAGAAACATCTCTGCTGCGGACAAAGGCCACAACTCCCCCGTTCTTTCTCAGATTGGAGTGCACCTCGTAATTTGGTAAGCTAAGATGGTTAATCGGTGCGGACTCTGAGATTTTTGTCTCCGCCAAGAAAAGCATGGCGGGACTATTGGATTGCAAGTAGTGATGTACAGCATCAATGTTGCTGTTAATCCCACAGATTTTCGCGAAACAAATTTTATCTTCGATGTTGTTCCCTCGAGTCCACCCTCCACCCGGACATTCTGAGAGTGGAGTGAGCTTACATCCGGAACTCTAGGTACTCGAGGGATTCATCATCATTAATTTCTTTGTTTTGGAAGATAACCGACTGCATTGCTTAGGTGTGGAAACATGCGGACATTTATAAGACACCCTGGGAAAAGTTATAGGGTGGTACCGCCTCGGTCGACTGGTCCTTGTCTATTACCTTCTCTTTGCATGTTAATGGTGTTAAATAGAAATAAAGTGACGGACTTGTACCGCCACCCGGCAATCGGTACTGAGGTATTCCTTAACGCGTGTACAATTACTTGTACGGGAAGAAGTTGTATGTTGGATACAACAACTTTCGGAACAAGCATTTGCCACGGCCCCGCTCAGTAGGAGTTGGGGTTTTTGAAATTCAATATAGGTGTAGATGTTACAGTTATTTTTCAGACTTTCGTTGTCGAACTTAGATTTATGGCATAGTTGTTTTCTTAGTTTTCGAACCGGTGTTGATCGCATGTAGAAATGTTGGAAATCATTGGAAAAAACTATATCTGTTAGATCGTAATTATTTTGATAATGTATCTTTGAACTAAACAAGTACAGAAATACAGGGCTGTACATATTCACGTATAGTGCAGCAGCTCTGTGATTTAAACGAATTCAATATAGCAACATAAATAGACACATACGCGAGAAGAGATGCGGGACGTGTGGTATTGATTTTGAGGTTCGATCGACGCAGTTTCTAGACAGTCCACAGGCGTACCGCTAAACAATTCTCATAAATATCTATTTCCAATTTAGGCATTCATCTAACATAGTGCTTCGCTGCAACACCAACCCCGATCAAGATCAGTCAAGTTTTACACAGTTTCAAATTACTATTGAGCAACAAACAGAACAAATCACTTTTTAAGTGCAATCTGTATAGCTAATATATTACCCAGACTTAAGCTTTGTCACAAGTCACAATACTCGTATATACGTATAAATCGCAAGAGTTGGGCTGTAAACAAGTGAGTTTATATGGCCATATTTTAATGTTCTTGTGGTATATGGCTACACAGGATACTTTGTTAAGCATAGGAACTAGATTTAAAATATCCCCAACAACAGTAATGATTATAACTAATAAGGTGCTCTACTTTATACTAAAACTGAAGTCAACCTGTATTAAGTTTCCCAAAAATGAAGCTGAAGTACAATAAAAATATCCAATACCCGGCAAAATTCTATCTTGTCACATTTCAAATAATAACCAGAAATATAAAACCAGAGTATAAAACTACTCCTGAGTTGGGTAAATACCACAATTTTGCGGTGATAACTATGACATATAACAGCTGATTCATGACGTCACGGATCTTATAACCAAACTGATAACCACACTCGCTTGAACGGATCGGTAAATACCAATCCAAAATGGTAAATACCGCTTTCATTTGGTTATTCGCTTGAATTTGATTTTAGATTGCAAAAGCAAATGTCAGGCGTCTAGGAGGGGTGCGCGCCCTCCGCACCCCCCCTAAATCCGCCAGTGACTCTGTACAAAAGTCATATGGCTCAAATAATTTAATACGAATTTTATTGAATTAAAATGAAATGTTGAAAAAAGTAGGGTTATTTTAGCAAAACGCAGGAGGAAACCCGCTAAAATTTAAATCTGGCCAAGCAAACCACGTCAATTGTCAATATGCCGCCATTTTTTGATGGTGCGCCATAGTTGTCATATTGTGCACCAGCAACGCCACTTTGTTACTCATTCTCCCATATCATTCCACCCCCGGGTGTAGTCACGGAGACTTGTGGCGAAGGGAGTTTTTATTTCCTAAGATTATTTTTTCTTTATACAGCGGTGTTGCCGGAATTCGTAAGGCTGAGAAAGCCTTATTGAAGTAGTTTCATATTATCAAGACATGTTAGTTGAAATATAATGGAAATGTCAATTTCAGATTACAGATAAAAGTAAATGGAGTTCTGCAGTCTACTGAGGTGATCACAAAAACGACATCTTGGTATTAATCTCGAACGTTGGCGATAATGAATTTGACGACCGTATTCAGACCTGTTGTTCACATATCTCTATTATATTTTCAAGTGACGAAAATGTGATAACAAAATGTACGAAGTACAGGTATAAAAATGTTTATTAGAAAATTATTATAGTACATCTGGGATTTAGTGATTACGATTTAAGTCAATAGAACAGGCGTTGTCCTTTCCAGAAGTTGTAATATTACCTGTAAAAATAATATAGGTATTTCTGGTTTATTGTCCGTCATCAGTGTACAGTAATTCAAATACAGGTTAAATATGTGCAGAACCTATAAAAATGAATAATTTTACTTACATTTTTCTAATTTCTGACATGCTAGAATTAACCGAGTAATGTTCAGTCCTTATCAATCGAACCTCTATCAATTCAAATAGTGCAACACATTCTGAATCCATTGTATAGCTGATCCACTGCTCTTTAAAATCATATGGTATTTCAAGTTCTAAAAAGTAAAGTTGTTTAACATAGTCAAAAACTGTTTATCTTATTTTATTCCTACCTGACTTGAAATTTAGTCATGATCATTATTAGCCATTTTGCTTGAAGCATTTTTTATATGCAAAGGATCTTTTCTAAATAAAAGAGTTGTCAGCAAGAATAAAATGAATCTGTAGCTTACAAAAAACCACAACAAAATACAAATGGATACTCGTGAAAAATATACCCTATTTCACAAGTATCCATCACGCTTTGATGTCTACTGAGGTGAATTGCTGATCAGCAAGTGGCATTTTTGTGTTAATCTGCAACGTTGGCTATTATGAATCGGGTGCAAATCTAGCAAACGTTTGTTGGTAGCGTTTTGTTTTTTATATGCAAATAAACTTCTCTAAATAAAATACTTTTAATAAGTACAAAATGAATAAGTAGTGTACAAAAAAAACAAAACAAAATATGGCTCTGTCTACCTGGCATTGACAGATTCGGCAGAATTATGTGTCATTTGCCGATATGGGGACTTCTGTGAAATTACTAGATAACCAGCTGTCATTCTACCGTGATGGATACTTGTGAAATAGGGTATACAGTACAAGCCTTTGAAATTTTAGGGTTAGCCTCACGCCAAAATACAAAGGTAAGAACCTATATCTCATGATTGTCAGAGTATATAATACTATCAAATTAATATGGTTCACTTTAATAGTCATAAAAAATCTTCTTTTCTGGCTGCGTTATTTGCTATCACTGTCAAAGGTAATGTATAACGGACGGCCTAACGTTATTTTTTTTGCACTTTATTCTGCTGGTCGCCCTTAATTACTGCCGGAAACTTTGTATCAAAAATTTAGTTTTCTGCTTCTTGCGACCTTATGAATATGTTGTTTGGTATTTTGGTAAGTACATATGTGAAAAAGCAGTATAGAATCTAAAATTTGACTTTCAGTAGTGCTGGAAGACCAAAAACTGTAGATCTTCTGCAAAAATAGTAGATCGGGCAACATCAACATCGCGTGACAATGATGGGACAGTCGCCGAGGCGCCAAACCCGTCGCGATATCTTTCTTCTATACTTCTTGTGTGTTGCGTTGTTGCGTATGTTTTGTGTGTGTGTGCCTTGTGTGTTCTGTGGTGTTTGGTGATCGTTGTCGCTGAGAAGAGGCACTCATCGGTTTTTCAAATTTTTTATACGAAACTATTTTAAATCTTGAAACTTTAATATTTTTTATATTCATATTTCGTGAATAATATATAAAAATCAAGAAAACATGAGGAAAGATCAAGACAAGGTAGGAATTTTGTAGTATGGCGAAGTGGTGACGCATCCATTTCATTTTCATAGAATGCTATTGATCGGCGTGCGGCTTGATTTTTGAATGTTTATATAAATTATATTTGGAAGAATCTTACCATCTATTTTTAATGTCGATATAGGGAGGCGATAGACAAGAGCCTGAGCAGCTTCGCAAACTCTTTATCGGTGGACTGGACTTCCGCACCACCGACGAGTCCTTAAAAACGCATTTTGAGCAATGGGGCGACATTACGGATGTAGTAGTGATGAAGGACCCCACAACAAAACGTTCCCGTGGATTCGGTTTCATCACATACGAAAAAGCTCATATGGTGGATGATGCTCAAGCCAACAGACCACACAGAGTGGATGGGAGAATCGTTGAAGTTAAAAGGTATAGATTCTTTTTGCTTATATTATTTAAAATCAACTTTCTTAAAATTAGCAATTAGAGTGCTTCTTAAACATAAGCTTTATGAAAAGTGTACAAGAAAAGCACCTCTCTGTTACTACAGTTAAATTGATGTGAAACAAAAAATTATTCTGGTTATAAGTAGCATAATGTAATTTTCTTTGCTTACAAGTAGCGTTGCCAGGCGTCCGGATAAAGCCGGACATAGTTAGGCTTTTTGATTGCATGTCCGGCTAAAATAAACGGTGTCCGTCTTGTCTGGCTTTTGTTACGCTTTTTACATTTCGCAAACAAGCGAGCACTGCCGATCTTGGACTGAAAACTTATACAAAGACACAAAACATTTCACATGGATGACTTTAAAAGATGTTCCTGAATGGAATCAAGTTTCCGATACTATAAGTATCCTATCGCCAAACAACATTAAAATCGACGATAGCAAATGTTTTGAGCAACTGCAAAATCTTAAAAGTTTTCTGAATACTAACAAAGAGAACGTTGATTTCAAGAAGCTATTAGCACATAAGAAATGGGTAGCCTATTTTAAATCGATGATAAGTCAAGATTGCTTTTCAGAATTCCTAACTATTTGTTAGTATTACTTTGCTATCCCAAGACATAACGCAAACGTTGAAAGAGTGTTTTCCTTGATAGGTCAGCAATGGAAGAAAGAACGCAACAGATTACATGTTGATACTGTTGGCAAAATGTTGGTTGTAGAATTTAATTTAAAACATTTGACATGTAAGGATTTTTACAACTACATTTTGAAAGAAACTGAGCTCTTAAAGCAGGTTTCGACAAACCAAAAATATTAATTATTTTTATTGTGTAACTCAAAGAGAAAATGTTTTTTTTTTGTTTTATATTTTAACTTAAAAAGAAGTTATTTATTTTTTTTAGTTAAAAATGTCTTATTTGTTCATAAATGTTTAATTATCTAGAATTTAATTTTATTGTGTAACTCAAAGAGAAAAAGTTTTTGTTTGTTTTATATTTTAGCTTAAAGAGAAGTTATTGATTTTTTTAGTTAAAAAAGTATAATTTGTGCCTTTCTTATTATTTAAGAAAAATTCAAATATGTTGATAAATGTTTAAGTATCTAGAATTTAATTTTGACTGATGACTATTTGACTGATTAATAATAAAGTACCTATCTAAGACTGATTTGGCAGTCGATTTTATTTGTTATTTCACTAGAAATTAACAAGATTTATGATAATAATCAAAAAGACTTGATTTTACATAGAAATTTTTTGTCGTACCTTTTAATACTAAGACAAAATCCTCAATAATATAGGGTGTCCGGCTTTTTTAACTAAATGTCCGGCCAAACTGGCTGGTCTGTCCGGCTATTAGGTTTGCCGACCTGGCAACGCTACTTACAAGGATGCATTTCGTTTATTGCCTGCCTGCCGGTACGTACAACCCGTTCCTTACTCTTGTCTTTTACATACATTACCAGCTGCACATTTGGTATTGTAAAAAATGCCTAGTATAAAGTATAAAACAAATAATATTTCATTCATTACCTACACAGTTTAGGGATTCTATACATTATCTAGGTATTGTATAGTATACTGGATTATACAGATTGCCAGTAACATATACAGGGTGTCCCGAAAAAAGTGTGCAATATTCTACCAGCGGTTTCTAGAGCTTAAAATAGGAAGAAAAGTTTATATAAACATAGGTCAACAAACATCCCCTAAGGGCGCTACGGTCTTTTAAAGGGGCTCCCCTGAAGATTGTTTTTTCTTAATATTTCCGAAACGTGTTGAGATAAAAACATAAAATTTGGTATCCTAGCCTAGTTTTTTATGCAGGATTTAAAAATATTAACAATTTCAGACAGTTTTGTTTGGAAGCGTATGTAACAGGGACAGGTTATTTTAGCCCCAACTTTTTTGTGTAATTCTATTTTTGAAATTCAATTTTAGAATTTGAAAATTTTGGGTTTTCTACATAAAAAAGGTACTCTTATTGAATATCGATAAATTGTGCCATTTTTGAATAAAATCAAACTAAAAAAGTTGTCACATGATAGGAAAAGTACTGCAAATTTAAATGAATTGATGAATAATTAACCATGGCAACGAAAAAACTAATTTAATAATTGGTAAATATTACATAAATACATATTTCTTTTGCAACATAGCTAACATTTAGGCAAAAACAAAAGAAGAGATAGTTTATACAAAATGTGACTTATTTTCGATAATAATATTTGTTTTTCTTGATAAGTAATTTAAATTAAAAAAAAAAACGAACTTCTCAAAAATATGTGGCAACTAAAAATTCGGACACTACAAAATGTAACTTAACTAATAACTTGTTACGTCGCCTTTTGCCGTAATTACCGCCTGAATTCTTGCAGGCATGGTCTTAAATAATGCTTGACAGTTTTCTTCTGTAAACGAATTCCAAATTTTTTGCAATTTCACACGCAGTTCAGGGATTGTTCTCCGATGTTGTTTCATTTTGTGGCAGACCGTTTCTATCACATTTAAAACGGGACTACTGGCGGGTCAAGAGAGTTCATGTACGTCATGATCCCCAAACCATTGTTTTGTGCTTTTGGCAGTGTGGCATGATGCGTCGTCCTGCTGATAAATGCCATCTACAAAATGACGACGTCCCATTCCAACTGCAGACATACAGCCCCACACCATAATACCTTTGGGAAATTTCACTATACGTTTAATGCAGTCTTTGTGGAAGGTTTCAGTTTTGCTTCTGATGACCCTTTTCCGATATATACGTATACGTCAAATTTGGCTTTGTCACTAAATATGATCTTGCTTCAGTTCTCATACGTCCAAGAGCGCTTTGATTTTGCCCAAATTAGGCGCCTTTGTTTTTGGACTTCAGTTAGAAGCGGTTTTTCTTTAGCCTAATTAATGAAAAAACGTTTTAAAATTATTTTGGAATAATAATTTTATAATGCATCCTTATAAAATTTGAGTCCAGATTTATGAATATATTTTCGACATTATTCTCGTGAAACCTGCATTCCACACTTTGTGTTCCACAGTGTTTTGTCTACCTGATTTGCAGATTTTGACCAAAGCTCTTCGATTCCGTTCAGTCACAATCCACGGTCGACCTGGACTGTCACCGCGCACATAGGGATAACAAGATCACTTGATATTTTGCGAATTTTCTTGCCTTTGCAAAACTGCTGAATAATAATTTTCCTCACTTTCTGGTTAGTGGCTACACCTCGCACCATTTTTGCATGAATATAAATTACCAGGCAGCAGCTGTGGCCGCAATAGTAGACTCTTCGGCCCCTGATCAGTCGCCGTGCGCTGTTTGGGTTTGAATCCCGTCCCAGGAGAAATTTTTCTCATGGCTATGGATGTTGTGATTGTCCATAGGTGGTAGACGGTCTGTGACTGTCGAACGCGGTGGTACCACCCGGCGGATCTCGTAGGCGGAGCCAGAATGTGTGCATGTTGCATGCACACGTGTTCCCTCGCCAGAGTCCGTGTGGCGTTCCCCCTTTCCCCTGTATCCCCCTATAGCCCCACGGTACCCAATGGGTGTTTAGGCCTTAGGCTTCGTGATAGTTGGAGTATAAAAAAAACAAGAAAATACAATCAGATACTAAATACAATTTCTAACGACGTTGACATAAATGGTATTTTGACATTGGTATCGCCCTCAATTGTTTTTGCATAGCGTGCTAGAATCTGATTGTCTCTAATGTTATGCTTCTTGACCTGTCCGAACGTTTAGTTGTCACCATATTTCACGATATTTTAGTGATTTTGTTTGTCTTTAAGTGATAAATTTGAATTCAGAGGTACCACTATTAAAAATATCTGTTTATTATGCATACCTATCAATATAAATTGATTTGCAAACATTTTTAGAAGGCGGCAGTTGATTTATGGGTCCACTTGTACAAAAAGTAAAGGTGTCCAAATATTTAGTTGTTTGGGCTCGTAGTAATTTTACACTGCCTAACAATGCCAGCTTATCGTCAAAATAAGTCATAACAAATCAAAACAACTTTTGTTTGCAGTCATGGCTATCTATGTATAATCAACAATTCATTTAAATTCGCAGTATATTTCCTAGCATGTGACAAATTGAAATTGAATTTAAAAAATAGAATCACACAAAAATTTTGGGGCTAAGATAACCTGAGTCTGTCCCTGTTACATATGATTCCAAACAAAACTGTCTAAAATTGTTAATATTTTTAAATCCAGTATAAAAAACTAGGCTAGGATACCAAATTTTATGTCTTTATCTCAACATGTTTCGGAAATATTAAGGAAAAACCATCTTCAGGGGAGCTCCTTTAAAAGACCGTAGCGCGCTTAGGGGACGTTTGTCGACCTATGTTTATATAAACTTTTCTTGCTATTTTAAGCTCTAGAAACCGTTGGTAGAATATTGCACACTTTTTTCGGGACACCCAGTATACTTCCACCATTACAAATTTATTTTGAAGCTCCGTCGTCTCTTTTTGGACAAACATATTCCTTTTTACCTCTTTGATCGTTGTGCTAGTGGAATTTACAAACAAAGTATCATAGCTGAATGCTTCATAAGCTGAGCCTGCATCATGTGTGTGTCATATGAAAATGTAGTATTTTGAATTTTCTCATGATCATAATAGTTTCTCAGTAATTAACAGGAAACATGAAGTAGACGAGTGTCGAGGTTTGCTAAAAAAATTGATTGCTGTATATCTCGATACAACTTTCACTAAATGAAAATTTGACAAACAGTAGTTCATGATGTGTTGCAGGATTATCTTTCAATTTTTGGACACCCTGTAATGTCATCGTTCACTATAACATTGTTGATTAATTTGCAAATTTATATTCTTTTTAAAAATCACTAGTTGTAAGCAGGATTGTCTTGAACTATGTGGGGGCCTCTGATTACATGGGAAGCTTGGGGGTCGCACCTGAAGGGTCCCCCAACTAGAGCAAAAGCAGGGTGTGGGGCTACTTGAGTTTTGATCTTTGGGCATTTGAAGAGCAGCAGGGTATAGGGGTACTCAAATATTTTCGCCCTCCATCCAACAGGAGCTTTGGGCCTGGGCTCCATGGATCCATAGGGTAAAGACAAAATAGGTTATAAGTGATGTCATTTCCTGACCTAACGTCTATCCAAGCCCACAGAAGTAATAAGTATATATTTTTCCAGAGCTGTTCCAAGACAAGACATTGGCCGTCCAGAAGCTGGAGTTACAGTGAAGAAACTATTTATAGGCGGTTTGGGTCAAGATGTAGATGAAGAGGACCTCAAAGAGCATTTTGGAAAATTTGGAGACATAGTCTCTTGCACTGTTGTATCAGATAAAGAAACTGGCAAGAAGAGAGGCTTTGCATTTATTGAATTTGAGGATTATGATACAGTAGATAAGATTGTGTGTAAGTACTTGCCTATTATGATTTTTAATTATTATTGCAATATTCAAAGTGTAATGAGATTGCAAAAAAAAATGTTTGTTAATGAGATACAGATTGCCAAAGTTTAATTATAGATTTGTTATATCTCTAGCTCACAAGCTGTATACAGTTCTACTCTATTTTTGACTTAGTATATAGAGGGTGCTGGTAACAGCCTATAATCTTGGTATTTCATCCTAAAACTGTCTTGCTAGTTCTTATACATCTTTTTTTATTGAAAATTGTGGAGTAATTTTGAGGGTTAAAAAAGGTATTTGACCAATATTTTTATTCATCATATTTGCATAATATCTCAGTCAAATGGCTTGATCCGAAATAGTTCGTTAAGGTGCTGCTCCGCGTCCAGATAATAACAGGAGGACGGGACTGGCGAATGAGTCACTGCCAAATCCAAATTTAAAAAAAATATAAGAGGCATACCTGTTTCTTAATATAGGTCTTTAAAGTTGAATGTTCCACAGTGAAAGTGTGACTTGGCAAGATTTTCTTCATAATTGCTATGGTACTAGTATCGTGTTTGACTCAGATTTACTAGTATCGTGTTTGACTCAGATTTGATCACTGTCTCCTGTATCCGTCTCTGCGCGAAACAGTACCTTCAAAAGTGGTGGACGAGAAATGAACATGAATATTTAAAACAGTGCACCGAAATCACACAATCAAGGGTAGACAGGCAGATGTAAAGAAAGCTCTGAGCAAAGCAGAGATGGAACGTGTAGGATCTGGTGGAGCTGGAGGTGGTCAAAGAGGAGGACCCAGAGGTGGTGGCAGTGGCATGGGAGGACCCCGGGGAGGAGGTAATCATTCATTTATGTAGTTAATAATAATAGTAATACAATGCAGTTATTAACCTGGTGAGATATCAGCTTGAGCTGTTCTTTCTATGTACCCAGAATATCGGTTGTTTTAGATGTGTCTTTACAAGAAGAACATAAATTGTTGGTAACAATCAAGACAAAATACAAAAGTTTAATACATTGAGATGAACAACATCTAAAATATTAAGATATGTTTACATAGATGAAACGTCATTGAATATGATCTCCTTGATTTGACCTTTAAATCTGCTAAGTGGTAGTTGTTTGAGTGAAAACAGTATTTTGTTAACCAGGCTGTTTCAGAACGTATCTGACAAATTTTAACCTCATATGCAGTGTTATTAAAGAAGTTGATTTCTCAAAAAAAAAATAATGTAATAGTAGTCCTACAGGAATCAAGATAATAAAACAATACAGTTTAACAGTAACTTGCTTATAAAAGCTGTTCAAAATTGTTTCAATTGACTGCAATGCAAGCTTGGGCGCGTCTAATCCAGTTTCGGCGCACTAATTCAATTGAACTAAATGTTTCGTGATGTGGTATGTGCCTATTCGGAAATCGGTGTGCATACAATGAGAAACCGCTCGTGAATTTTGCCCTGCTCCGTACGCTAAAACAATGTCCACTAACTCCTCATTAGTGTATACATGTGCCATTTTTATTAATAAATAACTAAAAGCATGAACTCGCAAAATACTTTCTTAACTTCACAAAAATCGACCGATGTTCATTCAGATCACCCACGATACAGATTAAACCTTATTTACACGTTCTTATCAATATGAAAAAAGTTCCTGGTATTTTGTTTTCATCAGGTGTTTGGTACATTTGCTACAATAAATTAATGCGTGTTCTAATATCACGATGAACGCGAAATACAGATAATTGTTTTTCAATTTTTTATTGAAACGGGATAATAACTTAATTTCTGTTGGATTTTTATTACATTTTTTTATTTGAGAAATCAACTTCGTTCTTAACAGTGCATATCTGGTTAAAATTTGTCGGATAAGTTGTGAAACACCTTGTATAATGCAACACTGACATAAGAAAAAAAAAATCGACATTGCTGACAAAGGACTCGGCAACACGCCTATGGGAAAAGTGGTTTCAGTTAATCTCGCTGAATTTTTTATATGTTATGCATCTTGGCATCCCAAACAAATGTTTCAATGGGTATAGGCCCCTAACCTCCACGGGTCCCAAGATATAGGGCATCCAAGTTGATATAATGTGGTTCTACTCAAATATTTGCTTTAAATGGAAGAGTGGTTTCAGTCAATTTCCCTGAATTACTCATATGTTATGTGTCTTGGTGTCCTGAATAAATGCTTTAATGAGCACATGCCCCAAGACACAACGGATCCCAAGATATAGGCTATCTAAGTCAGTATAATGGAGTAATCAGTCCTTTTAGAATATCTGCTTCAAGTGAAAGATTGGTTTCGGTTTAGTTTTTTTATATTATGTTATCTTCCTCGGCATCCTAAATAAATGCCTTTAATGGACACATGCCCCAAAACTCAACGAATTTCATGATATAGGGCATCCAAGTCGGTATAATCTATTGGGTATAATGGGAATGTATGCTTTAAGTGAAATAGTGGTTTCGGTTAATTCCGCTGAATGTTATGTGACTCGGAATGAGCAAATGTAGGACGTCCAAGTCAATATAATGAGATTACGGTTCTAGTCGAATATCTGCTTCAAGTTAAAGAGCAGTTTCTGTTAATTTAGCTGATTTTTTCATACGTTATGTGATTCGGCGTCCTGACGCCCCAAAACTCAATTTGTCCCAAGATATTTGGGCGAGATTTTGTGATAACCACGGAAGTTATTACCTCCAACGACAGGAATGCAAGACTTATGTAAATTATTGAATTGAGCTTCTGATATTCAAGTAAGATAAGCACAATTTTCATCAGTCAAATTATCAGGATCAACAGAGTGCGCACGATTTTTTAGTGCCGATTTTCTTAATCGTATAAAAAATCTACTGACTTCTATATAAAAGTTCCTCAAACTAAATCCTTTTTCATCGAGGTAATGTGAACAGATCCGAGATGCCCGAGGGACGTGAATGTTACTCTCCAAATATTCTTCAACTCGAGCCTCAATACTAAGCCGGATCATATGTATACTCCGGTGATTACATATACTAGTTTCAGAGGATTTTTGTCTAAAGACATTCAACCTATGACTTTCGGGATTTTGCCAGTCCGCTTCGTCCCGTGAAAGTAATAAATCACAGTTGAAACAAACACGTGATATATCGCTTATCACAAAAGCATAGCACCTTTGGATTGCTGAAGTTTCTCACAAGTCCCATGGTACGAATAGCGAAAACTTCATTACACACATAACATGTCATGCGCCGCGTTATGCTCGCTGCTATAGTATAAAATGTAAGCTGCACAGCTCAAAATTAAAACTCTACACGTAATGCTAAAAACAACGAAATTAAGGCAGTACGAAAAATCAAAACGAAAACGGAAAACGAGAGACCAAAAACGAAACACAATTAAGGATACACGAAATGAGAAACGATCAACAAAAAGTATATAATGCAATGGAAAACTAAACAGAAAATGCTTGCGCACTACTCAGTAATGAACTGCTTGTAGATTGCAAAAAGTAACGAATAACCTAAAAATGTCCTCTGACAACAACGTATTCGATCAATGTGCGGCAGCGCATGTAGCAGTCTCTCTTATATAGAAAAATACTCAAGGAGCTGTCACTGCCATCGGTCTTGTTGAGTCGTAGCCGGTTAACAGCGACTAAACTTCATTGAGTCTGATTTTTCCAACCCCAATGGAAAAGGGAGTTGGTTCCAATTATATGTGATTTTTGAGACATTTGTTCAGGATGACGCGATACAAGAGATTTCAAAAATTATTCATATCATATTAAACGAAACCACTCTTCTAGATAGAGCATAACATATAAAAAATTCAGCGAAATTAACCAAAATCACTCTTCCACTTAAAGCAGATATTGAGTAGGGTCGATACTCCATTATGCCGACTCGGACGGCCTATATCTGGAACCCTTTGAGGTTGGGGCCTGTGGCCATCGAAATATTTGTTCAGGATGCCAAGACGCATAACATATAAAAACTTCAGCAAAATTAACTGGCATTTATTCAGGACACCAAGCCACGTAACATATAAGTAATTTAGGGAAATTGACCGAAACCACTCTTCCATTTAGCAAATATTTGAGTAGGGCCGATACTCCATTATGGTGACTTGGACGGCCTATATCTTGGAACCCGTTGAGGTTGAAGGCCTGTGGCCATCGAAACATTTGTTCAGGATGCCAAGACGCATAACATATCAAAAATTCAGCAAAATTAACTGAAGCCACTCTTTCACTTAAAGCATATATTCCAGTATAACCAATAGATTATACCGACTCGGACGCTCTGTATCGTGGAACCCGTTGGGTATTGGAGCCTGTGTCCATTAAGACATTTGTTTAGGATGCAGAGGCACGTAACATATTAAAAAACTTAGCGAAATTAACAGAAACCACTCATTCACTTGAAGCAGATATTCGAGTAGGACTGATTACTCCATTATAGTGACTCATACGGCCTATATCTTGGGACTCGTTGTGTCTTGCGGCATGTGCTCATTATGGCATTTATTCAGGACACCAAGCCACATAACATATAAGTAATTCAGGGAAATTGACCGAAACCGCTCTTCCACTTAAAGCAGATATTGAGTAGGGCCGATACCCCATTATGGTGATTTGGACGGCCTATATCTTGGAACCCGTTGAGGTTGAAGGCCTGTGGCCATCGAAACATTTGTTCAGGATGCCAAGGCGCATCACATATAAAAATTCAGCAAAATTAACTGAAGCCACTCTTTCACTTAAAGCATATATTCTAGTATAACCAATAGATTATACCGACTTGGACGCCCTATATCATGGAACTCGTTGAGCTTTGGGGCCTTTTAAATTAAGGCATTTGTTTAGGATGCCGAGGCACATAATATATCAAAAATTCAGCAGAATTAACCGAAACCACTCTTTCACTTGAAGCAGATATTCGAGTAGGACTGATTACTTCATTATACTGACTCAGACTGCCTATATCTTGGGACCCGTTGTGTCTTGCAGCATGTGCTCATTAAGGCATTTATTCAGGACGCCAAGCCACATAACATATGAGTAATTCAGCGAAATTGACCGAAACAACTTTTCCACTTAAAGCTGATATTCAGTAGGGCCGATACTCCATTGAGGTTGGGGGCCTGGGGCCATCGAAACATTTGTTCAGGATGCCAAGGCGCATAACATATCAAAAATTCAGCAAAATTAACCGAAACCACTCTTTCACTTAAAGCATATATTCCAGTACAACCAACAGATTATACCGACTTGGACGCCCTATATCAAGCAGGTATTCAAGTAGGACTGATTACTCCATTATACTGTCTCAGACGGCCTATATCTTGGGACCCCTTGTGTCTTGTGGCATGAGCTCGTTAAGGCATTTATCCAGGACGCCAAGACACATAGCATATGAGCAATTCGGCGAAATTGACCGAAACAACTTTTCCACTTAAAGCTACGAGTACTATTGAGTACTGCCGATACTCCATTATGCCGACTTGGACGGCCTATATCTTGGAACTCGTTGAGGTTAGGGGCCTGTGACCATTGAAACATTTGTTCAGGATGTCAAGGCGCATAACATGTCAAAAATTCAGCGAAATAAACCGAAACCACTTTTTCCATAGGCGTGTTGCTGGCTCCTTTGAGATTGACACTATGATTTTGATTATGCATTGACAATTTATCGTTTAGGTAGGTACGGCACTTATTATATAAATATTGACTTTTGGGCTGTCAGTCTTTTAACAGTTTGACATTCGCTTGTAAAAAATCATCAGGACTAGAGATATCTAGTCCTGATGATATCTGAGATAAAAGTCGCTGATATCAGATACAAAAAGATTGA